GCAAAAAAGTTAAATTCTTTGTCGTTTTCTGTACTTGTTTCGTATTTTCAGAAAAAATAGAACAAATTGCACTTCAAATTTTACTTCTGTACAACCCGTCGAAAGGTTCCGATTTTTGGCAAAGAAAATAATTCCATAGAAAATATCCGGTTTTTTTCAAAAGAATTAATTTCTAATTTTTTTTCCTTTTATCCAAAGTTTGGCAAAGTTCACACGAACCCAAAAGCACAAGTCATTAACTTAATCTCGTGTGGAATTGTTATTGTCAGGTTGGTTAAGTCCATTAAATTCTGAACACACATAGCTCATAGTGAGTGAGCGAGCTCGCTCTTCTTTTGTAATTTTTGACACCGACACACATAGCTAATATTAATTAATCATCGGTCATTTTTTTTTTTGTCATTTTTGTTCCTCAACAAAGTTATACGAAAAAAACCCAAACAAAATCAACCAATATTCATTGAAAATTACATTTTGTTCATTTTGCATATGCTGGTCACATATGAAATGTAAAAAAAAGAATTAAAATTTCAAAAAACGTAGGAAGGTATTCCAAAATTAAGCTACAGGCAAAGTCAGACGTCAAGCGAGCAGCGACAGAGCTATACAACAATTATCCACCACTACAATACCAAAAAAAAAATTAAGTACTTTACGTTTACATTACAGTATTCACCTCCTCTCTCTCTCTCTCTCTCTCTCTCTGCCCTCGAAGAGCTTGGTATTAAACAAAATAATAAAAAAACACAAAATGTGACAATACAAGTAGTCAGTCAGCAATTGTGTGTTTTTTTTTGCCAGCATACGCAACTTTTTTTTTTTGTTTCGTTCACATAAATCTTACTTTTATTTTGACTTAAATTACCAAAGGTAGAAGAGAGCCAGAGAGTGAGAGAACTGAACCAGTTAGTTAACTGCTGATGGGACAAAAAACAAACCTTACAATTATGGTCATAAGTCTAACCATGGTATTTTACAGTGTCAGCTAAAAAGTTCTCTAAAGTATTTTGAAGAAAGTTTTCAAAGAACTGGAACGGGGTTTTTAATTGGGATTTTGGAATGTAACAATTCATTGAAATTTATGGCTCCGTTCTGCAATCTACTAGTTTCGAAATATTGTTTAAATATCATAAAGGGAAATTCGGTTATTGTTGCAAAAACTTTTACATTCCTGCAGTTCTGGAACAGACCCAATTTTTTCAAGATCATAAAGGAAATCTGTTATCGTAGTGACATTTCCACATTCATGTCGTGGTCGTGGAAGAACAGTGCACATGGGTTTTGATTTCGCGTTTTATGAGCTTCATGGATATTCAAAATTTATGGGTAGGTACTAGAAGGAGTGAAGCATCTTCACAGCAGACCTTGGATTAATAAAAATATTGTGATGCATGTAATTGGAATACAATCGGACTCTTACATCACATTCTAGAAGTTATAATTATTCAAAATTGTGGCTTTTCTGTGGGAGGAACTGGATGGAGTGGACCGATATTGTCCATTTTCGCACTTTAGCGCCAATGCAAATATTAGGATTTGCAAAGTTGGGCAAAGTCGGATTATTCTTTCACCCACTGTGCAGTAAAATATTTTCTTTGAAATCTTCAATTTTTTAAGGCGAGGAGCGATACTGCCCATCTCTGAACTCGATCTATGTTTGGCAATAATATTACAATGTATCAAGCTTGGTTCAAATCGGATACTCCCTTCGTGAGTTATCGTGCTCACCAGCCAGACAGTCAGACGGGCGGACGGACATTGCTAGATCGATTCCAAATGTCTCGAAACGGATTTGGTCCAAAGAGATCTAGGGTCTACAACAGTTATTTCGATAACAGCCCTCTCATAACACTCAAATTCCGAAAAATCATATGGCTGAGGGTATAAAAAGGGGTTACCGCAACCCTATGGCTGAGGGTATAAAAAGGAGTTACCGCAACATACTGCCCACAAGTTTCAAATGGAGAGGCAATTTGACTACTAAAACCCCACCTTCAATTGAGAAAAAAGATATTGGCTAGAGCATAGGATCTAAATCTCATTTTCTCCTACCCAGTATGTTAGGAAGTTCGAGAGGAAGTATCCTAACGCAACAATAAGGGAACTCCCCAAAGCAGGATCCTCACACGCAGAACAGTGGTGGAACCAGTCGAGGCCTAAAAAAAAAGCGACGATTGCGGAAAACTCCTACCCATCTGGAAATGTGGTACGAACCTTCAAAAAGGCCTCTAAAGTGCCATTGAGCCCGAGGTAGCACCCTCCAAGTAAAGGAATGCAAGCCGAGTTTAAATCTAAGGAACCGCAGACCATTCAAAAAGCTACGAGGAAGAAGAGGAAATCAATGCCTGCAAAAAGCTCGAAAATGGCTCTACCGAGACCCTCAGTTGATTCATCAACGCAGCCCATTAGAACGGAGAAAGTGGTAAAACAATGGGTGGACAGCGCAGAAACTATCTCAACGAAGCCTACAGCAAGTAGGCATTAAGGTCTCTTGTCGCCGGAGTTGCCAATCTCGCTAAATGTAGTTGCATCAAAGGTGACGAAATCCTTCGAAACGAATCTGCTCAACAGATGTCTCCGGTTGCGGTCATTGATCAGGCTGACCCCTATGGGTACATAAGCGAAAATCATTAGCTGCTGATCAACGGGAAGATTCGATGAATGTGTGGATTGGCCGTGCTAGAGTCTTTAAGAAAGTCAGGGTAATTATTAATTAAAGAAATCGAAGCCTGCTAAAACCTCGAAATTGGTTCTGCCCGACAGTAGATTAATCAAGGCTACAGCAAGTGGACATAACGATCTCTTATCTCCTGAGTTGCCTATCTCGCCAAAGGAAGCAGCAAATATGGCGACCAAATCCTCGTCTCAGCCAGTGGCTGTGAATAGGATGTGATTAGGATGTGGAGCAGCAATCCAGAGCGAAAAAATTGTGAAAGCACAGACGGTCCGTCTCGTATACTTCAGTGGCGACAAAGGTGACACACTAATAGGAAGGCGAAAGCTGATCTTGTCGGTAATCCTTCGATCCAAAACCGAAGCAGAATCATCCATCTGCACAACAGATGTCATCGGATGACATTAGCGTAGGGGTCGTTGATCAGTTTGACGAGACGGTCCGTATCGTTTGCTTCAGTGGCGACAAATAGGAAGGGGAAGGCTGATCTTGTCGGTAATCTTTCGATCCAAAACCGAAGTAGGATCATCCATCTGCACAACAGATGTCATCGGATGACATTAGCGTAGGGGTCGTTGATCAGTTTGACCCCAATTGGCTGCTGATCGACGGAAAGATCCGGTATATATACTTATCAGATAAGGTCGAACAGATGAATGTACGAATTAGCCCAGCTGCAGACTATGCCAGGGCAATTACCTGTAAAAATAAGGAATCTTTATATTTTCCCAATTTCTGCCATTGGGAAGTAGGAAATCCCATGCGGAATTAAGGTTTCGGTGTGGATTCCACCTCCTTTTAGGGAGTTTAAGGAGATCCTGAAACTGACTGATAAGTAGAATGCTGGTCTTAGTACTGGTCTGCTGATAACCCATCATGGTGCGGATCATAATGTGTATGCGATCCATACCGTCGCCCCTTGCGTCGTCTGGGGTGAAAAATGAGAGGCATTGGGAACGTTCGGAAACGGCGTGTGCTGATTTCCTTCACTAAGAACAGGGGGATGGTTTCCAAAGTAGTCACGGAGAAGGCTGAAATACTTCACTAAGAACAGCGGGATTGTTCTCAAAGTAGTCACGGAGAAGGCCGGAGAGGCCTACCTAAGAAGTCAAGGGTCGTTTTCGAATGTAAAATAAAATGTTCACCGAACTCTCTTTCTAATATATCCATTGTTTTATGAGGCACCGTTCATTGTTAGAATCACGAGTCATGCTAGTCAAGCTCTTGTATCAGTTACGTTGCGATCGTTGAAGAAGTCCGGTCCAATGATGCCAACGAACCATAAACTGCACCAAACAGTGAATTTTCCTGTATTAATTGCAATGCTTCAGGCTGGTCTTCCCTCCAAAATCACCAATTCTGCAGTTACATAGCCATTGAGCCAAAAATTAGCTTCGTCGTAGAACACAAATTTTCGATTAAAATCGGTGTCTTCTTCGTAAAAGAACAAAGGAGGGAACAACTCTAGTTTAGTAAAAACTCTTAGATTTTTTTAAATATCGGGTCAAAATCTGGATCCCGGGTCCTAGTTAATAAATTTTGGACCAGAGCCCGACACAGTATGACTGAATGGTAGTTGAATTTACTTAATACCATGTTGAAGAGTTGACTGGAACTATAACATTGTCCAATCAATAACAAAATGTTATTTACAACAACTTAAGAATTAGACAATAACCTATTATCACTATCACATTTAATCGCAAATACATAACAATTATTGTAATAAAATTACTGATTATTCCTGTCATTAAATTTAATTTCGTATTCTCTCAATAATTTAAATTGAGAACAAATTTGATGTATGGCCGGACGGCTTGAGTCATCAATGTTTACATTGAGAGAGAGAAAGGGAGAAAAAAAACTGTTTACCAACACTATTCTAGAAATATCACATAATTTCGCAACATAACTGCATTGCACACTCATCTATCACATGGAATATTTTCTTTTTTTTTCTAAAAATTTTATCACTTTTGTTTAACAAATATTTGAAAAAATTCCACAACATTAAATCAACAATGATAAACATTATCTTTTTCACTTCATGGACACTCGGAGACCTCTCATTATTGCATGTCTCCTAAAGCTCCAAAAACAACAGCAAAAACAAACGTAGCATACACATGTGTGTGAATGGATGTCATTTACAAATATGGACACAACTATATTTTTGTGATTATTTATTTATAAATCTACATACATATGCCGTGCCATGCCATGGCTGGTTGAAACGCACAAATCTACAATGTTTTGCCCAACACACACACTTGGCCAATGGAAAATAATAATAAAAAAAAGGAAACAGCTTCCTGGCTTTGCTTACCTGATGATGGAAATTTGATAATGAAAATTTGGTAGTAAATTGATGGCAGGCGCAGGTGGTAATAAAGAAAAATGCGAATAAACGTTTATTTTTAAGCATAAATTATAAATGTAAAACAGCAATCGTATACGCAACAGAACACATTCTTTTTTCGACTTTTTTCCAGAGGGGGAATTAAAACAATTCTCAAATTTTTACACTTCTTCTTCAAGTCTTCCAACGGAATATCAATCATTCCATTTCAACGTTAATATCAACACATTAATTCTATATCTCACATTTCTATACACCGTTTATATATTTTGTATATTTTTTGCACTCATCTCGAATTTCTTGCTTCTTTCTTTCTTTACCCCCTCTTTCTTTTTCACTTTTGCGGCAGAAACTTATCGCTAAACACACACGGCACGATATTTTCATTTATTTTTTCTTAACCACTTGCTTGAGCTATTGATAGGTTTATGCGCGTTTTACAAGTTATTGCCTCACTTTATACATAGCTTCGTTTTGGGGGATTGTTTAAAGTTATTGTTATTCTTTCTTTTTACACAAGAAATAACCTATAATGTTGCCCACCGCATAAAAAAAATCTATGAAATGCTTCTTGCTTTTTCGACTGTAACTCATCACATGATGATAGCCCCTGTTATACTAATTTTTGCAATCGTCAGCAATTGTATGTAAGGTGAGCGCGAATTGTGTAATATGGCATCGCGTCACTGCGTGCCTAAAATTAAGGGTGGTTCACACGGCAAGTTCCAAGGCAAGGGAGAGTTATCGGACAATGAGATAAATAGATAACATGAAATATGTTTATTTAAGCATTAGGGAGTGATTTTTTTGCAATTTCATTAAAATGATGTCATATAAACGTTGTGTTTAAAACACATGGAAGGATTTTTCTTCTAAAAATAATTAGCGGATTGTTGATAGTAGCAAACGTTGAGTTGGATTTAAAAGTGCCCAAAAAATATTTTACAAAATAATATAATAATAAGAAAAGTTGCTCAACTTCAATGAAACTAGGAAAATGCAACTCTGTACTGGACATAGTAAGAGTCAAAGAGACTTTTCAAACAAGCAACAATTGGTTTTGCTTATTGAACATTTTTAATATTTTTGACAAAACTTGAGTTGAATATTAGGGTTTCTCCACAATATCCAGACATTTCATTCATCTTTCGCGCTATTTGACTCATTTTAAAAACTAACAAAAAAATATCAAATAAATGAAAATAACTTGTTGCCTATAATTTTGAATAATTCTGGCAGGATGCGGGCGTATTTCTGTAGTTGCACTAAGCTCTTCTACCTCCTTATTGTACCATGGGGGCACCTAAAGAAAAAAATTATATCTAGGGGGTAGCTCATGGTAAAATTAAGAAGGTAAAGTCATTTCGAATAAGCATATCCATCTGCATTTTCTGTAATTTACCTTGTCACCGAATAAAAAAAGCGTTCCCATTTCTGATATCTGATGGTTTTATAAATACAAATTTTGAGAATGAGATGTTGTCATTTGAATAATTTAAAAAAATGTAAACATATAAATGTATGGTTTTACCTTCTTAATTCTACCATAGGGTATCTTTGTTCTACCTTCTGTAATTATGCCATGCAAGGGACCACATTTTCTGAATGGAAAAAAAATTTGTTCGAAATGAATTTTAATGTCAACAAAGGCTTGATTTAATTGGAAAACTAGAACTAGTAGAAATGAATAAATATTGAATATCAGGGTTGGGCATGATGCAATAAAAAGGTATGTAGAACTATAAGCTGAATACAATTTTTCTGACATCTACCAACTTATTTTCAAAATCAATTTCAGATCCTTTATACTATTCCTTTCCTTTATTTACTATTATTTTCGACATCATAAAAGAGGAAATCGGTTATCGTTGTAAAAACTTTTACCTTCTTGCAGTTCGCAAGCATTAAACATATTAAGGTGAGAATACATAAAACGTTTTCTGACTGGCTTAAGTCATCGGTTTTTTCGTAGAGGAACAAAGGAGTTTTAGGTTGACTTAGTTCGATTTTGGCCCTACGCTCCTTTGATCTTTTCCGAAGAAGCCAGCCGATAACTTAAGCCAGTCGATAAAGCGTTTTATGTATTGTCACCTTAAAACGATTTTTTGAATATTCTTAAAACAAAATAAAATAGACAATAATAATTTTCTTAAAACTAAATGCATTTATTGAAAATATTGTGTATTGAACGCAATTCTATTTTACATGTAATCTTATGTTTTTTAGTTTAATGGTGAAGTCGTTTTGGCGCTTTCATGACGTATCGCATTGATCAGCTCATAATTGACCAAGAAAACAAATCTCAAACCAGACATCTAAAACAAAAACAAGTAGAAATTAGAATTATTTTCCCCACAAGAAGCAACCTTAACATACCTCCACAACACAGTTGTTGGCCAGACGAGTTTTATTACCACTCAACAATGGTACACCATCGATAAATATCGGTCGCTTGCCCTCGTTGGCAATAAAGAAGTCGCCATTGCTACGCAATTTTATTGTTCCCTGTTTACGGGAAATTTTTGTGGCCGGCCCTTCCAGTGACAAATCCACATCGACTACACAATCTTTAGCATCTCGCCCGAATGTTATCTCCTTGGAACGCATTAGATAACGTACCAAACGTCCCCTTAACACCGCCAATGTTTGACCATCAAACTCGGGTGCAATACCAACTCCAGTCATTGAATCAACCAAAACATTCCAGCGACTCAGTTCATTTTCCAGTAAACGTATTTCACGTTTATTTTGTCGATCGGCAAGTGCCAACTCAATTTCCAAGGCCTCATCTCTTTGCTCATGCAATTCGGAATCCATTATAAGATCTTCAGCATCGGAAAAAGTCAAGGGCTGATCGCTGATATTGACAACTTGATCGGAAAGCAGTTGGTATTGTTTCATCATTTGCCAGTGATTTTGTAAAGATTTCGCGGTGCGTGCGCTATAGAAGACGGAGGCATTTTTATCCAATAACTCTTGGAATTGTTCGATTTTGGGGTTGTCAGTCTGCAAGCAGGTATTAAAAAAGGAAATAATGAGATTTTCAGTGTTCAGTGCCTTTCGAAAGCCTCAAGCTTCATCGAAAGTTAACCCCCTTCATTCTCCAACTACTTACCGATTTGATAGTGCTCAACAACTCCTCCTCAGCTGTGCTAAACAAGGCCTTTCTCTGCACCGATTCAACCAATTCTGGATGTAAATTGCGCATAGCTGTAACAGCAATTCTAGACAGGGCGGGCTCAAACAAGAGAGCCCACCATCTACTCTGCAATTCCGCCAAGGTGAATTTACTAGAAAATTTCGTGCCACGATGAACCATTCGTGAGTCGTTGGTTTGCAACATGCCGATAATCAATGCCAGATCATCAATGGGCTTCCAACGACCCAAATCCTTTAGAGTGGCCTGTGCAGGTGGCCGCCCTGACTTTCGGGACTTTTTCTGCTGAGACCTGGCCGGTCGACGTCTTTCGGCTGCCATAAAACCACTTGTAGTTTTACTTTCCGTACCCAATAAGTTTTGAAGTGTGGGTCCAACCGCAATGGAACTAGTTGCACTACCAACAACTTGTTGCAAAATAGGTGCTGCTGCCGCCGCCGCTGTAGTTGTTGCCACGGCACTTGAGTTGGTTTTATCTAAATCTACTTGCGTTGGTGGCTGCAGAATTGGTACTGGAGGTGTTGGGAGCACTGGTTGTATATATGTTTGAGAAGTTGTTCGTGGTCTTGTGCTACGCGTTTGTTCACTGCGAGATTGTAAGCTTACACTGTATTCCACAATTTCATCATCAAAACGCTTACGTTTTATGGAACGTGATGAGCTGAAAGAACAAGCAATTAGTAAAAGTTCCCATGGACAGACATCGGTTTCTTTTCTATGCTAAACTCACCTTCTTCGCTTCTGATCGTTCTGCAATTCTATTGGCAAATTATGCAAAGGAGTTGTTGTGGCTGAAGTTGGCAAGTCATTAGGATTGTTGTCATTTGTTGTTGCTAATGACGCCATTTATTTGTTGTTTTAAGGGAATTTCGAGGACTACTGCGTGCGTAAGTTAGTGTTACCAGACAATAGATTGTAGTTTTTCATTTACTGCAAATTTAAATCGATTCTTCAAAATGCTATATAACCAAAAAATGATGTATAATGTAAATGTATAACAATTAAATAGGTTCTTTGATTAAATTAATAAAATTACTGTGTTATTTATACGTTTCTACGAAACAGTTCAAAGAAGCTGTTCACTATAGAAGTTGAAACCAGTTCCCTGTGTTTCATGTGGTTCGTTTGATTTCATTATTCACCGCATTCGTTCATTTTAAGGTGCATTTATACCATGTTTACATCTAGGGCATTTAGAAGATGCACTCTCTCATGGAACAATATGTGCAATAAAGGTAGGGCACTGAAACTAATCAATTTTAATTTAGCAAGAATGTACTGTTTTTTTTAATTTTTTTCGTATCTGAAAATAAATATCTTTTATCGCATTGTAGAATTAGAAAGGCAAAGTAATGTTTTTTGTTTGTAATCAAAAATGAGAACATGTTTTTATGCAGTGAAGTTTGACAAATTCAATTGCAGAAAATTAAGAAATCGATATGCTTATTTGAAAGGACTTGGCAAATTGCAAGTACCAAATTTCAAACAATATTGAAAAAAGTGGCTTAAATCTTCAAAATACCGAATATGGTGAGATACAGTTATATGAGTCAAAAGCTTATACCATGGTAGAAGAATATAGGTAGATGCATCAACGCTTGGGAACATTGATATGTCAAAAATTTTTAAGTGCTTTGTCAAAAATAAGTCGATTTTTATATGTTTTCTTATACGACGCAAATCGGAGGTTGTAATGATATGTATTTTTGAACAATTTTTAAAAATTTCAATAATTTTTCATTCACGATTTTCAATATCAAAATCGGCTTGACAGTTCATTGTCCCAGCAGCTGTGTCGATGCGACTACCTGTATTCTTCTACCATGGCTTATACGAGGCCGCGAAACTGTGTAACAATTTTCTGTCATAGGAAATAGTAGACATTGCGAACTCTTAGCTCTTTGAAATAATTCTGGTAAAAATGTGAAAAAAAACTGAATACGAAAGAAAAACCCGATTGGAACCAATTTAGTAAAAAGTGTGACACAAGTCATTAAAATACTGAATGTACATATACCAAAATTTGGACATATGCCATGTTTACGTTATAACTTTTTGTGGGGTTAACCTACTTTAAGAGGATTTATTTGAAGTTTAAGTAATGGATATGACAATTTTAATCCCAATCCAGTGGGTTAACCTATTTATATGTAAACGTATTGTTATATAAAAAGACCTCTTCAAGGATCTTACTTACATCCTGAAAAAAGTGTAAATTTACACCAAATTCGGTTAAAATCCTGTGACTGAAATCCTGTGGACCTAAAATAAATCTGACTATTTTCTTTTCAACTTTTCAGAGATTGTTAAGATATGCATTTTTAAACATTTTATATAAATTTGAATAATTTTTCCATTCAAAATTGTCAATTCTAAAATTGGTTTGACAATTCGTTGTCCCAGCAGCTGTGCCGATGCGACTACCTGTATTCTTCATACCATGGTCGGGGTCTTAGAGCATTTTTAGACTATTTTATCCATTCGATTTTAAATGTCAATTCCATAGCGTATAAGTCATATAAATCGTATTCATAAATCCAGTGGATATTATTTGACGTATACGCTGTTGAATTGACATTTGACATCGAGAGGATTTTGTAAATCTAAACTTACTTTTAAATGTTTATTTCGAGGTGTTATCAATAAATATGACAAATTAAGTTGTATAAAAAATGTTGACAATGAAACGTCAAATGAATAATTAAAAAAAAATGTAAACATGACTTTACCTTTTTAAACCTATCATGTATAAATTGTTCCATGTAGATAAACTAATTTTTTTTCGATATCATCAAGGGAAATCGGCTAATGTAATAAAAATGTTTAAATTCATGCATTTCTGGAACAAAGCAAAAATGTATCATTTGAACTTTGGGAACTAAATAAACGAAAGAACTGTTATTGTTTCACTTGTTCCTCACGCTGAGTAGTGACTTTGAACTAGTTCTACTCTGGTGGGTCGTGTTGTGTACGATGAAAAAATAAATGGGCAAAAAATAGAAAAAAAGTGAAAAATGTTAAAATATTTATAAACAAAAAGCAAAAAATAACAACGAAATTAAGTTATATAGCAAGTATTAAACCCTTTAAATAATGAGGTAATTAAAAGCAAGCGATATCCTTTGTTTTCATATTTCTTTGATATCCTTTCTTCCTTGTTGTCTTTGTTTCGCACACAACAGCCTACACTTCGAAAGTCCTCCACAATCTGATGGCAGCAAAATGGATATGGACATTTCATCGGAGACAACATCATTGGATTCGGGAGCAAATTCGTTGAATGATAACTCGGTTATTATACGCTTGGAAAAGGAAGGCGATTGCAATAATCATCATCACGATGTGACAGGCAATGTCTATGCCAATGACAACGAAGAATTTAATAAGACAACATTAGATAATCGCAATGCAAGGCCGCCTTTGGTGGGTGATCATCCGTCGTCGCCCTTGGTCACACCGCAAAGACACAATAAATCGGCGGCACGCACCCTGGCCGACAATCATCCACTGATGTTGTCTCCCACAGATTCGGATGTGGATTTCAATGTGGCCGCTGAGGTCCGTCGCATGACAAACGAAAAGAATTGTGAGAATAAGAAAAACTATCCAGATGTGGTGCCAAGTTTGGAACATTTACATATACGTATACCTCAGGAGAATTTCGATGTTGGCAAACAAATAAGTTTAATGAACACCAAGAATGTAAACGGTGGTGAGCTGGCGGTGACCAAATCAAAAGCTGGTAACAGTTTTGTAAATGGACAGACTTTGAAACCGGGCGATGTGAAGAATTCTGCCTTTAGGGCAAGTAGTCCTGATCTCATAAGCAGTGGATCAGAGGTGAATGTATCGCAGTATCAGGCTACCGTTGATGCCAACAATCAAGTAGTAACATTAATACCGAAAAATGGCCAAGGTGAGGCGGTGAACGGTGGTGGAGGTTTGGTGGGGGCCCAAAATAAACATTTGAAAAATGCCAGAAAAGCCGAAGATATTTCCTCGTTAGACTCCATATCAAATCATAGTTTTGATGGTGATGAAGATCACCATAACTTGGCATCGTTGAGTCCCTCAAGTTCCATAATCGATGGCCTGGATGATGATGATGACGACGATGATGATTGCGAGGGACCTGAGTTATTGCCCGACGATGATGATGATGATGCAGATTTGCGAATGCATGGCATTGATGGTGTTGGCATACTTACGCCCACACCATTGCAGAGAGATGGTGCTGGTGTGGATGTGTCCAATCAATTGCCACAGTATTCGGCAGCCGAAGAGAGACGTGATTCAAGAAACTGGCAAAAAATAACCCTACCCGATGGTCGTACCCGTGATATTGATATGCGCGTCATTGAACCCTATAAACGTGTGTTATCCCATGGTGGTTATCTCAAGGCTGGGGGTCACAATGCAATTGTCATATTTTGTGCCTGCCATTTGCCAGATCGTTCACGTACCGACTATAGCTATGTTATGGACAATCTATTTTTGTATGTGGTCAAGACCTTGGAACAATTGGTTACAGATGACTATGTGCTGATTTATTTGCATGGCGGATCGAGTCGCCGTAATATGCCACCGTTTCCATGGCTAAAAAAGTAAGGGAATAGGATTTTTTTGCAATTTGTAATTAAATTTTATGGTAATTGTTATTACATTACAGGTGCTACCAGCTATTGGATAGACGCTTGAGAAAAAGCTTGAAAAACATGTACTTGGTACATCCAACCTTTTGGATCAAGTCCATTATATGGATGACTAGACCCTTTGTTAGGTAAGTATGGTATTTTTATTTGATTGCTGCCATATAATGTGGTTTCCATTTCAGTACTAAATTCTGGCGCAAATTAGTCTATGTGAAATCCTTGGATGAGCTATCACAATATGTAACGGCCCTGGAAAAGGCAGCCATACCGGAAAAGGTTAAGCAATATGATTCGAAAAAACATTGAAACTTGTCGGAGACAGAAACACATCACCACAACAACAACAAGTAAATTGTAGAAGAATACTCAGCAACAACAAGTTATATTTATACCTATTATTATATTCTATATAAAAAAAGCTAATTTTTAATATTTATTTCTATTTCTTTATTGTGTGATATATTTCATAATTTAAGATTTATCTTTGACTGTGTAATTTTTAACTTCCCTCATCCTTCTGCTACAACTCCTACCATCTCCTACTCATTTGTATGGAAAAATGTATACCTATTGGTGTACATTAAACAAAACTGTTGATCTCTATATTTGAATAATGCATTACATACATATATATATGTATACATATACTATATACAACAGCAAAAGACAAAAACATATTGCTTGAAATTATTCAGCGACAGAACAAACGAACAAAGTTGTATAATTCAAATGCTGAAATTTATGCCTTAGTTATGTTAATCGAATTAAATAAAAATATTATTTTTCTTGGATTGTTTCAAATCAGCGTGCCTGCAAACCCCCATTTTAGGAATCTCACCAGGAGCTTTAAATCATAAAAATATATTTAAAAGAAAAGTAATTTTCATTCGTTTGAAAAACCCCAATCTTGAATTATCCCAGGCTGGCACCTGATGACAAATTGTTCCATTTTTTTTTTATTATGTTACTCTCAGTTTTATGTATGTTTTCCTTTTTCTCTCTGTTAATGCACCTATTTATATATACAATATTAAAAAAAAGAAACATTCCTTCAGTATTTAACCATATTTCATGTTGTATCCTATTCTTTGGAAATTAGCAATAAAAAATTGAGACTATCATCATGTTACCAACACCACCACCACCAACCCACCATTACCACCAACCACCACACTCCATTAATACTAATCGAAAACATGACCACTTCTAACAAATGTCCACAAAAAATTGTGTACAAAAATACTCAAAAAAAATATATATATTTACATATAAATATACATAGATACATTCATTGGAAACCATTAAAATAATTATTAAATAATACAAAAAGCATTGGAAAAATATTCATTTAAAGAAAAGTGATTTTCCTTAACATTGTCTTACAAAGCCCCCAAATCAATTGGGTCATTTAAGGCAAAGGATTCAGATTTTTTTATTATCTTTTTATTTGCTCTCCCATTTAATTTATTTAAATTTAAAAATTTATTTTGTACTCCTATTATATTTTAAAACATATTTTTCAGGATCCGTATTTTTTTGTTTTTTTTTTTTATTTTTTTTAAATGCCTATCCCTTCTAATATAATTTATTTAAATTTAACCATTTATTTATGTATTCCTATTATGTTTTAAAATATATATTTTTCCATCTTATTTTTAATGCAGCAATAAACTGCTGCAGTAGTTTATTAATTATATAGTAAAATTTTATGTAGCTTAAATATTTAAAAAAATGCATTTTAATGCCTTCATTGTCGACGTTCATTTAAAAAGTTATTCCTATTTTTTTTTTTAATGTTAATTAATTGCACTTTTCTCTTCCATAGAAATGCTTTAAGAAAATAATGCAAAACACACACACACGTACTTATACACAAAAACACACACACATATGTATGCAAAATATATACCTAATTTTTGAATATAAATCCCAAAATTATTTGTTTTTATTTGATAATAACAGCATATATTTAAGAATAAAATAATAAATATAGTTTAATGAAACAAAGTCTTTGTTCGATATTGGCGGCCAACAAACGCAGTGGGGGAGCAAAAACCATATATCAGGTAAAAGAAATTTACACAGATTTTGTAAAATAATAAACAAAAATAATAAAAATCAACGTTTGAAAGAGGCCACAAAATCCGAAAATATCTCCCCTTTAGACTCCATATCAAATCATAGTTTTGATGGTGATGAAGATCACCACAACTTGGCATCGTTGAGTCCCCTGATGATAATGACGACGACGATAGGTGTGAGAGACATGAATCATTACCTGACGATGATGATGACTTTGATGGTGTTGGCATTCTTCTTCCCATTTGAAGTTGCAAATTTTCCACCATTAATTCGAATTTTTCCTTTTAAAATTCAATTCAAGTTAAAGTGGAAATACATACAGCACTAAGGTGGGAACACAAAAAAGGAGCATAGGGCCACAATCGAACTAAGTCAACCTAAAACTTCCATGTTCCTATACGAAGAAGCCAGCCAAAAATGCGCTTTATGTATTCCCACCCTCAGAAAATATCAGCCCACTGTACCCCCTTCCTTGAGGTATGATTTTTCAAACTGTTGACCCTTTATGGAGGTTCCGGAGCAGTTGGCCAATATTGACCAATTCGTATCAGACCTAAGACTGATAAAAAATTGTTGTGCTTTTATGGTTTGAAATAAAAGTCAATGTTTGTTAATACTAAAGGTGTAAAGATTTATTGGATGATGAGCGTTCACAGCTACTAATTTAAAAGGAATGAAGAAGTTACAATGTAGTGAGTCAGACTCGAGTGACAGACAAAACAAGACTGAGCAAGCTAAAATGGCGGTAGCACGGCGTCCTATTATGTGGGCGTTGCCGTATAGGATGTTGCAACATGAGATGCCATATTGTTAATGTGGGTTGCCCCAACATCTCCCTCCTTAAGATGAGAAGGTGATCTTGAAATAGGTTCGACTGGTTGTCTGCGACTTGTTATTCTTTGAGGTGTCCAGTTTGGTGAACCTGTTGGAGTTGCAAAATGTTCTTGATGGTTAGGCAAAGCGATTTCGAATTCTTCAAGTAGTACGTCCAATGGTAGTTTTTGTCGTTCTTGACTGCTTGACTCTACCGATTCTCTATGTCGAAGTTGATCAGTATGAGCTCGTACTAGAATTTTCCTGTCCCCAACGTCGATTAGAGTGTTGTAAATGACTTTCCCTTTACGCTCGACTATTTCGCCTGTTGTCCAGTAACTTTTGTTTCCTTTGAAGTTTCTTGCATAGACCAATTCTCCGTTGCTAAACTCTCTGTTTTTGGTACCGTGTTTGGTATTATACTGCTGTTCCATTTTGTGATTGACGTTATACTCAGGCGATTGTTGCTTCCTTAGAACGTCGAAGACCGTTCTCATTTTTCTTCCGATGAAGGATTCTGCTGGAGACTTACCTTCTGGTGCATTTGGATTTGGTGTGGATCTGTAGACTTCTAGGAAGGTTTGGAGAGATTCCGTAGGCGTTTCTTCCCCTTCTAGTTTTTTTAATGCACGTTTAAGTGTATCAACGAAACGCTCGGCTTGTCCATTTGAACTTGGATGAAAACGAACAGTCCTTGTGTGTTTAATGCCTTTTTTGCTGCACCACTTCTCAAATTGTTCTGAACAGAACTGTGTTCCGTTGTCCGAGACCAATTGTTCAGGATTTCCGAAGAGTGCACAATATTCGTTTAACATTTTTAATGTTGCATATGTGGTTGTCGTTGTTGTCTCGTATATAACAGGGTATTTTGAATACGAGTCGATGATAAGAAGATAATATTTACCTTTTTCTGGACCAGCATAGTCTATATGTATCCTTTCAAGAGGGTGTGAAGTTAATGGCCATGGGCAAAGATTTGTTTTTACTGGACTTTTTGCCGCATGTTGACAATTTTTGCATTTCCGAACAAAGTCTTCAATTTGTTTGTCGATGTTTGGCCAATAAACATAACTTCTGGCGATGGCTTTGCTGCGTTCTGCTGATAAGTGTCCTCTGTGAAGTTGTTGTAAGATTTGTCTCTGATATGATTTAGGGATTACTATACGATTATTGAAGAGAATACAACCATCGAAGGTTGAAAGATTTTCCTTGCGGTTGAAAAATTGAATAATTGATGGGTTAATATTTTTCTTGCTTTCTGGCCATTCTGTTTGAATGTATTTGAGGACCATTTGTAAATCCGTGTCTTTTGTTGTTGCATCGACGATCATTTTAAATGATACTGGGAGAACTGACATAGTTTCATTTATCTCGTTACGTATGTCTTCTTCGAATGATATTGAAGCCACTATAAAGTCATCTGCTGGTTTTTCGTGATTTTTGACTAATCTTGATAATACATCAGCGTGACCAAAGTCCTTTGTGTTTGTGTATTTAATTTCGAAGTTGTAAGCCAGTAATATAAGGGCCCATCGTTGTAAACGATTTGCTGTGTAAATTGGAACTCCCTTCTTTGAACCAAATATTGCGAGTAAGGGTTTGTGATCGGTGTGTAAAGTAAATTTGCGTCCGAATAACATTTTGTGAAACCGTTGAACGGCGAATATAAGGGCTAGGCCTTCTTTTTCTATTTGGCTGTAATTCTTTTCCGCTTGTGTGAGTGATCTGGAAATATGATGTATTGCCTTCATAGTGTTGTCTGGAAACATATGATAGATAACCGCGCCGATTCCGTGAGATGATGCATCGGCTGCTACATGTATAGGCAAGTTTGGATTGTAATGCGTTAAAAGAAGATCTGATGTCAAGATGTTCTTAAAGTCGTTTAATGATTTTTGACACTGTGACGTCCACTCGAACTTGGCGTCCTTTTTTAGTAGATCGTCAAGAGGTTTACGTAGTGTTCTCATGTTGTTTACAAATTTCCCGTAATGATTAATAGAGCCTAATAACGATCTTACTTCCGAGACGTTTTCTGGTGTTTTAAGATTTTGAACGGCTGCTATTTTGATTGGGTCAGGTTTGATTCCATCTTTGCTTATTATGTGTCCTAGATATTTGATTTGTTTTTGAAAGAATTGGCATTTTTCAAATTTCAGCTTGAATCCGTGATCTTGAATTCTTTGTAAAAGCTTGTTTAAATTTAATTTATGTTCCGGAATAGATGGACTTGATAACATGATGTCGTCTATATATGCTTTTGCTCCTTCTATGCCTGCGCATAGCTTATCCATGATCCTTTGAAATGCTCCCGGAGCTGATTTTATACCTGGGGTTAGACGGTTGAACTTATATAGACCTTTGTGTGTATTGATGGTGAGAAGCTCTTTACTTTCGTCGTCAACTTCGACTTGTAAGTATGCGTCTGAGAGATCTAAGTGACTAAAGATTACACAGTTGTGGCAATCAGACATGATTTCTTCCGGTGTTGGTAATGGATACTGATTAGGTTCTACTATTGAGTTTAGTCCTGTTGAATAGTCTGCACATATTCGAATTTTTCCATTACGTTTGCTGACCACTATCGGCGCTGCGTACCTCGATGAATCTACCGGTGTGATTATTCCTGCGTTTTCTAATCTGAGGAGTTCTGTTTCAATTTCCATTCTTGCTGCGAAAGGAACTGGTCGTTTGGGAACGAATATTTCTTTTGTGTTTGGCAATAATTGTATGTTGACTTTTGTTTTGCACAGACCTGGGGTACTGTTATCAAAAACTGATTGATAATTCGTTTTCAATTCTGCTATTTCATCAACGAAGTTTATTTGATGACACCATGAGGTTATTGGTTTCTGCCATAGATTGAATGCTTGAATCCAATCGATTCCCATGATATTGAGTTTTTCTATATCTGTTATATAACATTTTAATGTTTTTGATGTTTTGTCGATTGTGACGTCACATTGAAATTCTGCTAGGAGCTTGATTGAGTTTGCGTTTGCGTCGCTAGCGTTGTCAAAAGTTTCGTAGGCTTCAGGCTTACCTATAGCTTTCCATGTGTTGATAGATACAATTGATATGTCTGATGCAGTATCAATTTGAAGTTTTACAGGATTGTTGTTAATTAGGACAGTTGTGTATTTCCTTAAGTCGCGGAAATTAATGTTGTGTGTTTTGAAAACTGCCTTAGTTTTGAATGATTTCCTTGAATTGCTGTATTTCTTGAATTCATTCTGGTTGTTTTCAGACGATGATTTGAAATTCTTACCAGTCTTAGCGATGTTGCAAAAGTTATTTTTATGACCCACTTGATTGCATGTTGTGCATTTATGTTTCTGGAAAGGACAAAATTTGACGTAGTGAAGGTCTCCGCAATACCAACAGGGTGAATTGGGTGTTTTGTGCTTCTTGAAGTCTTTTGCGTGCTTGTTGAGTGAACAGACGATTTTTGATTGATGTTCAATGAGAATGTTGTCCGATTTGAGATCTAGAATTCGTTGTGTTTCGTCTACTAGTTGATCTAGGTTCATTGTAGTGTTTTCATCATCCAGTACCTTTAGTAAGCGAAGTCTTATGTCGTTGTCCTTTTCTGACTTGAGTCCTAAGACGAAAATGAGACATTTGAATTGGTCGATTTTCAGTTCTTTCATTTTGAATAGTTCGCATTGTAGGTTTACTCTGCTTGCGTATTCTCTGAAATCTTCGCTGTCGCCTTTTGCTAGCTGAAGGCATTTGTATCTTTGTGAGACTTGTGTTTCTGTTTTACCAAAGAGTTTCTTGAGTTTCTCTACTGTATCCTTTAGAGTCATGTCTTCAGGTTTTGCTGGTAATACGTAGTTGGCAAATCTTTCATGTACTTGGTTCGACATTTTTCTCCATAACAAGGCCACTTTGTCATGTTCTTCGAGTGAGCTTGCTTCTTTTTCGAAAACATGCACAAACCTGTTGTACCACGCTTGAAATATCAGACCGCTCTCTGGCTCGTATACGAATGCTGTCATTGACTGTGCTAGTGATTCCATTAGTGCTGCTTTGGATGAATTTGATGTTTGTGGTGAGTGTGGTGAATTTGGTGCTCCTTGTGCTTGAAGAAGATCAGCCATATGCTTTAGCAGTTGCGTTTGTTGCGACATTGCTTTCTGTTGCTCTGTTAACAATTGTAGAATTATGTCTTGAGACATTTTTGCGGATTGTTGTGTGTGCAATTATTGATCAATTTCCACTATCCTCGTCGCCACTTTTGTTGTGCTTTTATGGTTTGAAATAAAAGTCAATGTTTGTTAATACTAAAGGTGTAAAGATTTATTGGATGATGAGCGTTCACAGCTACTAATTTAAAAGGAATGAAGAAGTTACAATGTAGTGAGTCAGACTCGAGTGACAGACAAAACAAGACTGAGCAAGCTAAAATGGCGGTAGCACGGCGTCCTATTATGTGGGCGTTGCCGTATAGGATGTTGCAACATGAGATGCCATATTGTTAATGTGGGTTGCCCCAACAAAAATATTACAACGTGCCAGATTTGGACTATATCGACTACTTCCTATACTTTATATGAAATATGTGCAAATTTTTGTGGAAATGTGGAAATATGTGTGAGGTAACAGATATAGCGGACCGAAGTATTCAATTTTCATACCGTTATGGGCAACATTACAAGAAAATCGAACATTTATATCCAATTTTATGCGAAATCATAAATTCCGATAAATTACATATTCATATCAGATGCCTGTTTAAGAGAATTATTTATATATAAGAAATCGTAAAGAATCGCTGACTTGTTTCCCAAGTTATGGCAGATACAAATATTGAAAATTGTGAATCTTTCTGGGTAAGGTGACAACAGATCTTGCGTTAGCAAAAATATTTGGATGTGTGAAATTTGCAGAGAGTTAGATGCTTATTTCGCTTTCTTTGAGCGTTTTGTTAATCAAAATGGTGAACCTTATGTGGGGGAGGTACCAGAAGGAATGATCCGATCTCCACCATCTTTATATCAGATTTTGTATTGATGGAAATATTGAGATGTGCCAAGTCTGAATGCAATCGGATGTTAATTTCGCGTTTAATGAGCTTCATGGATATTCAAAATGTTGACCCTTTGTGGGGGAGGTATCAGAATGAGTGGACCGGTACAGCCCATCTTCACAGCAGATCTTGTGTTAGTAGAAATAATGGGATGTGTGAAATATGAAGGGAACCGGATGCTTATTTCCGATCTTATAATCGTTTTGGTTATTCAAAACTTTGACGCCTTGTGGGGAGGATCTCTACCATCTTTATAACAGACATTGTGTTGATGAAAATATATGAAATGTGGAAATGTGAATCGGATGTTAATTTCGCGTTTTATGAGCTTCATGGATATTCAATATTTTGATCCTTTTTGGGGAGGTGCCAAAAGGAGTGGGCTGATATATCCCATCTTCACAGAAGATCTTGGGTTTATAAAATTATTTTGATGCGTAAAGTTTAAAGACAATCGACTCTTAAGCTGGGAATACATAAAGCGCATATTTGGCTGGCTTAAGTCATCGGCTGGCTTCTTCGGAAATGAACAAAGGAACCTAGGGCCAAAATCGAACTAGGTCAACCTAAAACTCCTTTATTCATTTACGAAGAAGCCAGCCGATGACTTAAGCCAGCCAAATATGCGCTTTATGTATTCCCAGCTTTACATCAAATTTTATAAGAGTATATGATCACTAAAGTCTACAACTTGTAGTGGAGAACACTCAATTACCACTCTAAACGAAAGACCACCACTTTCTTTTGTGTAAAGAAACCCTTAGGCAATGAGTAAAACAACGTACAATTTATTTTATTGTATAGTTTATTTCTTCTTATTTTCTAAAAATATATATATTTGATTTTTCTTTTCTAAAAATAGGGGAAATATCTTAATAATATTAAAAAAACTTAAAAATTGTCATATGTATAGTTTACATTTTCCTATAAAGGAGAAATACATAAAGTGTACAAGAAATGTATATAAATGTACCTGTTGATTGAATATCCTCATGTCACATTCGTAGTTGCAGTAATCATAATGGTATATACGCTGGTAATGCTCCCAATTTTGGACGTTTCTTTGGTGTATCTTCAGGCGTTTTGTCGGTTTCTTCGGGTGCTACGGGTTGATCTGAAATTACCTCCTTCTCTTCTTTTTCTTTACATTCATTTGCCTCCCCTTCCCGGCTAGTTCCTATGAAATAACGTACACCAGAAACTCCCAAAACTTTTTCCTGCTGTTCATCAGAAACTGTGGATGGTGGTGGAATTTTTTCTTGTGTCACATTTCTGGATGACTTTGTTGACGAAATCTCCGCCTGTTTTTGTAAATATTTTTCTCTTTTCTGTTTGCTCTTGCAATAGACACAATTCTTAATAGTACACACACCCGTACGTTCATGTTCGGGGCAAACAAATTCATGTCGTTTATTGCACTTGAGATCGTTGAAGAGGATATGAAAAGATTCGGAAAATTGTTAATAAAATCCAAAGGAGAATAATTGGGATATTGAAAGTATAACTTTGTACATACCTTGTCGGCCAATTTGCAATAACCCCTAAGGAAGTCAATACACACTTCGGCATTGTCACTCAGTTTTTTGTGTAGATACGGGCAATCATTGCGTACACACACCCCCTGCATGTAGAATTTACACACCGGCATTTTAGACAACGAAACCTCGTGGGAGAGCAGGCACTTGGAGTTTAAACATTCACCACGGAGAAATCTGAAAAATATATTATTTCAAGGGAATTCTATTTGATTTTGTTTTCAAAATTGTGCAACTTACTTGGAACAAATCGCCACCTGTTGTTTGTTGTGCACCTTAAGGCATTTTCCCCTCTCGTGGGCGGCACATTTTCCCACACGTTGATATATGGGACAGGGGACATTAGATTTGATCAAATGTTTACTCAAAATTTGCAAACTCTTCTGTTTGGCATTATTCACATAGGCTCGAGCCAAATGGTTACGGGTCCGTATCAAAACATTATTTTTGGATGGTGTTGAAATATAGGTAAAACCACCTATATCAATACGACGACACGTGGGACCAGCCTTGTTACGACTCATGGCTCCATCTTCTTTACCATCAGTAGCAGCAGTAACTCGTGTAAGTTTGTATTTCTGAGGGTCCATAATATATTTGGTGCCACGTACAAATATTGTCAGTCCTTGAGATGGTTTGGTGTCGGAAGCTGTAGTTGTGGGTTTCTTGGATTTATTTTCTAAATTTGAACTATTATTTGTCAAGTCTTTGAGTTTTAAGGAGTTTCGAGTCGATTTATACAATAATCCATTTATATTCAGTAACTGGAGTTTTTTGTTTACACTTGGCGTCGTTGAAGACTTGGCGGTGGTTGTGCCAAATTTCTTCCAAGTGTTTGTGCTCTGAGCTGAACTTGTTGAAGTTCTTCTCAGAGCAAATCGGCCCACAAAAGATTTGCGTTTTATTTTAAACACAGAGGCAAAAGCAGCAGGTGGGAGTTTCCTTTTAACGACTCTATTGTCCAGTTTATATTTGGTTTTGATTGATGATCCTCGAATAGCTGAAGGATCGGGTTTTACTACTGTTTGTTTTGTAATTTTGGTCTGTTGAATGGCTGATTTCCGTATGAGTTTACGTTTGGTAACGTGCACAATAGGTTGTGGTGGGACAATTGGAATTGCTTTAATTTGTAACAATTTCTGGGGCGCAGTTAGGGGTTCACGAATTAGACGGTTTTTGGATTTACAAATTATTTTACGAACTTCTGTGGGAGCAGTTTTTGGGATGACAGCTGTGGAAGCAGGAACACGCGCAGCAGAAATCGCCTTATCAGAATTCGTTGAAAGGGAGTTTGTTTTACCACCCTCTGTGAGTCCCCTATTTGATATGACGCAACTACTTGTTGTGTCTGCAACTGGATAGGTAGGAAGCAAGGTAGCTGAAGCCGATGTAACTGGATAAGCGAGAACTTTTGCAGAGGACATTGAAGCATCCGCAATCATTGAATTTTGATCCTGCAGTTTCATTAGAAATCTTGGATTCATATGTATAGTGGGCCTTTGGGCACGTTCCAAAAACAAAGGATTTATGTGAGCACTTGCTGGTATGTGTTGCGCTTGCGGTGCATTGACGGACGAGGGTACCACATATTGTAAATCTGGTTGTTGTAGCCTACCCTTGAAGTTAGGGTTTATGTAAATTGTACGTGGATTATTGTTTTGAGGTAGCATTTTTCAGTGATTCAGTTCTTGTCGTTTGTTACCCCCCAATGTTGTTACTAGATCGGAATGATTCTGTTTCTTCTCGGTTGTACCAATTAATCCAAAAATTTAGATAATTGTCCGTGTGACGACTTATTTATTTCTCGATTACTCTGGGGCCTATTCTATTTCGAAAGGAATTAGTTCAATGGAACTATTCTGTAAAAGGAACTATGTCACCTAGTTCCTTTAAAGTACTTTAGTTTATGTAGCTTATTTTGTGACGGCTTAAACAAAGGTGTTTCTTCCATATAATTTCTTGCTTTCATTCGTAAGGGCTGAATTTGCGTAATTGCTGAATCTGCAAGAATCTACAGTTCTGGAACAGAGCAAATATTGCAAAATAAATGATTTGTTTCAGAAATGCAGGAATGTAAAACTTTTAAATACGATAACCGATTTTCTCTTTATGATATCGAAGAAAATTGCAAAAATAGTAAACTCAAGTAAGTTCTGGAAGATATCAAATGTGTAATTTTATAAACCGCATATAAATATGGCAAGTTTTCTGTTGGCAATTCTTTATTTAATAGGAATAACTTGCTGTCAATTTCCAACAATTACTCTTTAACAGGAGCAGATATAATCACAACACGGAATATCGGGAGGTCCTCTATATGAGTGCTATAAAAAATGTTGTGGCAGAGAATTTAGTGCCTACTAAGAACTTTAACTACAAAAATTCAATCACTTCCGTAAAAAAATGTGGCTAAAATGATGGAATATCGTGTGGTAACAGCTCTATAGCACAACATGGAATCATAAAATTTTTTACTAGAGGAATAAAGGTGAGGGTATATAAGCAGCCACGCATATTAATGTCAAATTATAAAGGGAGACGACGACAGAACCTAAGTGCGGCTCTGGCATCCATTTCTTATATGTCACAAAATATGTCATGCGAAGACTTCAAGCTGCTTATGTACTCTCACCTTAAGTTTTTATTATTAACTTCAAATATCGAATTGTTAACAATTCCGATAGAAAATTCTTAAGGTAATAATACAATAAAGGTAATAATACATAATACATTGTTCTCACCTTTATAACGTCAAAATAGCAAATATCGGAAAATTTCGTTATAGACCCGATATTATAGGCCGGTATAGCCAATGTAAGTATTTTGCATGCCTGCATACAAAAGTGACATCTGTGCAAAAACAGAGCTTCCTATCGGAAATCATTTGCACTGTAGCTTGATTAAAATAGACAGTCGAGCCGACTTGGCTAAATCAACTGAAAAATTGCCTGCTTGGTTGGGTCCGAACATCGTAGAATTAAGAAGGTAAAGTCATGCAATCATATTTTAAATTTTTTTTTTCAAAATTATTTATTTGACAACATCTTATTGACTAAATGTTTCTTGTTTATCATTCAATTTTTTCATGTTTTCTTATGCTACGCCAATCAGAGGTTGTTATGATATAAAACTCTCAATAATTTTGACAAATTTGAATAATTTTTTACTTAAAAATTCAATTACAAATTTAGATTGACAGTTCATTGTCCCAGCAGGTGTGAAACCTTGGAAATTATTGTACCATGTGTGCTTCTCATTGTTGCTCCGTACAATACGTGCTGCGTGCTACGTTACGTCTACGTATTACCCACTAATTTGATGGCAAAAAAAAAAAACACATTGCTGTGGTCTGGCAACTTCACGGGGTTCGTCATTAATTTTTCTTTGCAATCTTTGGAAAATTATTTTAATTTAAATCATGCAAAATAATATATAAAAATCAAGTGAATATAGTATTCTTAAGTTCACATGGAAATTCCAAAGTTGATGCTATAGAAAGTTGCTGGCCGAAACAAAGGAAGTTGAGAGCAGAGAAACGCAGCAAATTTTGAAACAAAGTTAATTCGGAGGAGTCCATCGAACGAACTGCAAAGCAGCTAAACAAAAAAAATCGCATAGAAGAAATAGGTGCAAGCGAAACACACACGAATACTGAAAAAGGAAAAAGCAAGTAAGTGTAAATGGCAAAAGGATTTTTAATTTTTATTTTTTTGCTTTCGGGTAAAGCGAATTACGTCTTCAAGTTTTTTTTGGGAACAAAGGTGTATATATATGTGAATAAGGGGGATTAATGTAATTTTGTTGGTGGTACTGAGTTTTTATTACAAATCAATGATTAATTTACCTTTGCTGTTGTAGACAGTGGAATGTTGTCGGCATTTGTCAGCAGCCTAACAAACGCCATTATCCACCACGCTACAAAAAGTTCGCGAAATCGAAGCGTAAAGTCTTGCGATTTTTATGTAATTTTGGGAAAAGAATTTCTGCAACGAAATACTTTTACATTGTTGTATTTTCGACAAGCCTGAACTTTGAAAAGGCCCCATTAATCCCTGGAACAAGGATTTGCCTTTTTCAGATCACCCACCTACATGTTTTCTCGATTCCTATTAAAAATTGTCTATTATTCTAAAGTTACTCCTTAAAATGTTTAAATTAATTTATACTCAAAATAATATATTTATTTTTTAAATAGAAACTTTTTTCTAGACATTTCAAACCCACAAAAATAATATATTTTTGAAAATAAAAAGTTAATAAACCTTTTTCTTTTTCCCAGTATGGAAAGTCCATGTGAATCCGAGAGCTCATTGGATGGCGGTACCATGTTGCCTCCCAGCCCCGTTTCTAGGGAGCAATTACAAAAAAGGATTGAATCTCTTACTCAACAGAATAAGTATGTCTTTTATCTTGGGCCTTGGTAAAAATTAAATTTTCTTGATTTCTCTTTCCAGGGTCTTAAAAGCCGAACTAGATACCATGAAAATAAAATACAAGGTTGTACAGGAAGAAAATCGTACTCTGAAACAAGCATCCGTGATAATTGTGAGTATAACCTGATTTTTGGACCCCTATTTATACCCTCAGTCATAGGGCTACAGAGGGTATATATCATTTGATACGGCCAAAACGTACCTCATCGAAATAACGGTTTTAGACCTTAGGTCTCTCGACCAAATCCGTTTTACGACATTCGATCTAATGGTGCCTGTCCGTTCGTCTGTCTCTCGAAGGGAGTATCCGATTTGAACCAAACATGGTACATCGTAATATTATTGTCAAACTTAGATTAAGTTCGGAGATGGGCAATATCGGTCCACTCCTTCCGGTACCTCCCCCACAAAATGTCAACATTTTCAATGAAAATAACTTACGGCACAGAAAGAGAAAGGATAAACCGATTTTGCTCCAACTTTGCAAAAGCTAATATTTGCATCAGTGCTAGGTAAAGTGCGAAAATGGACAACATAGCTTCACTCCATCAAGTACCTCCCCAACAAAGAGTCAAAATTTTGAATAAAAATAACTCTTATACAATGTGATGTAAGTGTCCGATTGTCATCAAATTACACACATATCAATATTTTTATTAGTCCAATGTCTGGTGTGAAGGTGGACGATATCGGTCCACTCCTTCTGGTATCTCCCCCACAAAGGGTCACAATTTTGAATGTTCGTGAAGCTCATAAAACACGAAATTAACATCCGATTCCATTCAGACTTAATACATCTCAATTTTTCTATCAACACAAGATCTGTTACCAAGATGGTAGAGATCGGATCATTCCTTCTGGTACCTCCCCCACAAAGGGTCAAAGTTTTGAATAACCCAAACGATCATAAAATCAGAAATAAGCATCCGGTTCTCTTCAAATTACACACATCATAATATTTTTATCAACCCAAGGTCTGATGTGAAGATGGCATAAATCGGTCCACTCCTTCTGCTAACCCCCCCACAAAGGGTCAACAGTTTGATAATCATAACTCAAGGCTTTGGGTATAAATCTGTCGGCAAAACCGACTGATACTATTTTACTTGTTTGGTTCTATTTCACAGCAAGCTAAGGCAGAACAGGAGGAAGAATACATTTCGAATACATTGTTAAAAAAGATCCAAGCTTTGAAAAAGGAAAAGGAGACACTGGCCCATCACTATGAAAGAGAAGAAGAATGTCTGACCAATGATCTATCACGGAAATTAGATCAGGTGAGTAGAAAATATATTTATCCCCCTTAAAAACCCCCAATTAAAATTGGTCCTCCTTCTTTTTTAGTTGCGTCAAGAGAAATGCAAACTGGAACAAACGTTGGAACAGGAACAAGAATGTCTGGTGAATAAGCTAATGCGGAAAATTGAAAAGCTACAAGCTGAGACGGACAATAAGCAAACAAATCTGGAACAGTTGCGCCGCGAAATGGTCGAGCTGGAAAACACCTTGGAACAGGAGCAAGAAGCCTTAGTTAATAAGCTGTGGAAACGCATGGATAAATTGGAGACCGAAAAACGTTTGCTGCAAATTAAACTGGATCAACCTGTGTCGGATCCAACAACACCACGTGATATCACCAATGCCAATGGCGATACCGCCTCTAATCTTAGCTCTCACATACAAACTTTAAGATCTGAGGTCATACGTTTGCGTGCCAATTTGGCCGCCGCCGAGGAGGAGACTGCAAAGAAACTACAACAATTTGCCCAGGAGGAGAAATCGATACGTGAAGAAAATGCCCGATTGCAGCGTAAATTGAAACAGGAAGTGGAAAGGCGTGAGGCACTATGTCGCCATCTATCCGAATCGGAATCTTCATTGGAAATGGATGAGGAACGTTTCTATAATGAGAATATTTTGGCCACTGGGGCACCGCTAACAAGTGCCGCCTTGAATGCTCATCGTCAGCGAACCATTAGCAGCCCTGTGTCGCATAGTCCATCGAGTAGTCGTCCCTTGAGTCCAGGCAATTCACAACACAATCGTTGTTATGCATGTGGACAAGTTGTGGTAAGTTTAATTTGTGGCTTTTGCAATCATTCCGCAATAACCTCGATTTTGTTTATTTCAGAATCGTCGTGCTAGTGAACGTTTTATTAAACCAGCACTGCCAACTCCTATGCTAGGTCTCAATACATCAGCACCAAATGTTTTGTCGGGATCCACAGGTGGTGTTGGTGGTGGACCATCTGTGGTTGGTGGCCTATTTTCCTCATGTTCCTCAAATGCTAATGCCGGGCCCCCACCATCAGGGTTCCTCAACAGCAATGATCGCTTGTCATTTACATCGGCATCCCTGTTAGGCAACACTACCAATAACCCATCAGGCGGTTCTTCCAACAGCACTCAAGCATTCAACAACATAAATACGTCCAATACAAGCGTGAATAGTACAAGCAATTCCGCTTTTACGCCCACAAATCCAAGTGGTGGCACCTTTGCTCAACCAGCCAGTCCCATGGACACTTCATCATGCAAAGACTAAATTTTGAGACACAGACACACAAGAACAGCAGAAGTGAAACTTAAGTAGTTAAACGAAATAAAAAATGTTGTATGGATTTTTTTTTTAAATTCAACTAAACTAAGTAATTAACTTTTACAAAAAAAAAAAAACAAAAAGGAACCCCCCTCCCGCAAGTTCTTGGGTGGCAAACCTAATAATGAATCTTCTTTGTGCATGCGTTGGTAGGTGCAATCTATCAGACAATTAAAATCTTAACTTATCTTTCTTCTCTTTTTTTGCAGTATTTCCCCCTGGGTATCATTAAAAAAACAACAACAACAAATTTAACAAATGGAAGCGCAACTGTGCGGCACCTATAACCAAAAACACAGAGACGACACCCATTAAAAAAAATATTGAATTTATTCGATGCCGTTCATACTAAATAAGCAAACAAAAATAAGAAAACTTCTCAAAAACTATTAATTATTAATTAAAATTGAAAGAATGAATGAAAAGAAGACCCACAGTCTTCGAAACGAATACAAAATGCAAGTGTAACATGTGAATGGTTCGCTTTGAGCTTTTTTTCCAAAATAACAAAACCACAATATAATTAACTTTAATATTATTATCATCCCAAAAAAAAAAAAAGAAAAACCAACCAACCAACATTATTAATTAATACGCATACAAACATATATATGATACTACTATTACTATATATTTATTCTGTTACTTTTATTTTTAGCTAAAAAAATCATTAAATGATTTTCTTTTTATAAAAAAAAAAAACAAAACAAATTTATTCTTATCCTTCATATTTCCCCAACGCCTCAAAAAATTTCACCAATTGTCATTAAATCAACAGGAAATATGGAAAAATAAATAAAATTGAAAATTTCCCCATGATACTGCACACAAAACAAACACACCCACATATTCATTTTTGTAACGAACTTTGACACTGGACTTCTTATTATTAATATATATATATAAAAATTTAATATATATTTATTTTATTTAATCCATAATTGAAACTATGTGTAAGCTATGAATTGAGACATAAAGTCGATACCAATAAAAATTTAATAAGATTGAAATGCTTTGGGTGTTTTTGAAAACATGATTTCTTGAAACGGAAATCAGTGTTAATCCATTGATGAATTTAACATTCTTTTAAGAAGGCATTGAAGTTCCAAACTTGTGAGACTATCGAAAAATACAGGGTCGTTAAAATCATCAAAATACCCAAAATCGAGAGAAACCACCATGGGGTTTATTCGAAGGCGTGGACCTGCACATACGATTTTCTGTCATAGGCTGTAATATCCATTACGAACTTTAAATACCAAATTTGAAACAATTCCGGTGAATAATGTCGCTAAAATCATCAAAATACCCAATATCGGGAGAAACCATTATATGGGGGCGCTACGAAGGCATGAACCTGCACAGAAAATTTTCTGTCATAGGTTGTAGTATCCGTTGTGAACTTCAAATACCAAATTTGAAACAATTCCGGTGAATAATGTCGCTAAAATCATCAAAATATCGAAAATCGGGACGTGCGTTATAAGGGGGCTTTATAAAAACGGGGACCTACATGGCCCATTTTTAATACCAAAAGTCCTGCAGACATGACATACATTTGAGTAAAATTTTATCAAACTACTTCATTTCGTTCGGAAGGTAGAGTGATTTCCACAGACGGACGGAGGGAAATCGCTAAATCGACATAGAATTGTATGCTGATCAAGAATATACAGGGTGAGATGAAAAAACTGCAAGAAATTTCAGACTGCTGTCATTTCCAAGCCACTCGTCCGACAGCTTTTAAAATTATTCCAGTGACAGCTCATTATATTGTTTACAAGCGTACAAAAGAATTTTGGTGAGAATTTTCCAGAAAAAAATTTATTCGGGATGGAATTCAAGCGTGATAGTGTGATTTCTTTATAGTTGACTTTAAAAACATTCGAAACTTTGACCGTTTGTGGGGGAGTTACCAGAAGGTCAGATTGGTCCGATCACTACCATCTTTATAACCGATCTTTTGTTGATAGAAATATAGAGATGTGCTAAGTCTGAATGGAATGAGATGTTAATTTCGCGATTTATGAGGTTCATGGATATTACATATTTTGGCCCTTTGTGTGGGAGGTACCAGAAGGAATGGACCTACGCGCTCTTTCTGTATAGCCCTTAATCATAGGGCAACACTCAGCGTCAATGAAGTCGTCTCCCTGTGATTGCTGTTTTGTCATTAATGCGTGGCACTTTCCCTTAAAAATGGGGTCCTTTTCCAACAAAATTCGCACAGTCGTCACAAAATCTGAACATATGCAAATATTTTATACAAAATATTAAATAATTATTGAAAGTTTACTTTACTAACATAAAAATTTTTTTTCATTGTTTTGCCACTCACAGGGAATGGTTTACACGAGATGTTTTCTCTAATGGTGTCGAAACTTCGCTGCTACCGACTGCCAGCAGCTGAATAAATAAAAAAGAATTAATTTTTTTCTTATGTTAGCCTTGTAATGTCAATACACACACACATTGAATATAATTAAATGTAATTTTAAAAATTGTCAAATTCTTTTGAAATTAAAATTTAAATTAACAGCTGTTGCATCTGTATTTTTCACATTTAATCAATTTGCCATACCTTTGTAATTATTCTACCATTCCGATAATATCGATAAGAAACCATCAATCGATATCCCCTTTCTAAATGAACTATCGATGCTGACATCGACTGTTTGTCACCTCTACAATAAGTAATAAGTGATTCTTTGAATTGTATTGTTGATTTCTGGGCAATAGCAACAAACGAAATCAATAAAAAAGAAAGAACATAAATATATTTATAAAAAAAGTTGATGGCTGGGTAAAAGTAATTGACAGTGAGAGGGGATGTAAATAAACGGCAAACGAGTGTGTACGTGTGTGTGTGACCTCATTACGTTTTGGTAAAAACAAATTTCTTTTTTTTGTTGTTTGCAAAAAACAGCAATTACTACCAACATAATTATGAATAATCTCGAAGAAAAAAGTAGTTTTCCAAGAAATTTGCCAGTCATAAATACAAATAATTACAATGATAATACCGAAACCGCGGATGAAAACAAAAATTCGACCAACAACGACAATGTGGGGGCAGAGGCAAAAAATTGCGAAGAAGAAATAAACAGTGAAACCGTACTGCAATGGCAAGTGTCAGATGTCATGGACTGGGCAAGAAATAACAAACTCAATCAAGATGTGATTAATCTGATTGTTTTGGAAGAAATCGATGGGGCAGTGCTATTGTGTTTAAGTGAAGAAGATGTGCGGGATTTTCGTTATCGCTTAAATTATAATCTACGTTTTGGTGAATTAAAGAAATTGTGGTGTAAAATTTATCAACTACAACAGATTTGTCATTACAATAATTACTCATATGGAGCTGGAACGGCATCCACTGCAGCAACAACAACAACCTCGATGCACATCCATAATCAACATCATCATTTGAGTGCAACAAAATCATCAAATTTAAGAAATAATCTTCGTTTGGAAGGTTCACCTTCGCATCATCAGCACCACCATAACCCTAGAAATGCGGGAGTTACATCGTTAAATGCACCACCAGCCTTTGTGCTGGCTGGTGGCGGTGGTGTTGGATGTAGTTCCGTTTATCATCATCATGGCTGTAATGGCCGAACTAATTGTAACATTCCCTGCAGTGCTTTATTGGATACATTTAATGATTGTGATAGTTGTGCACCGGAGGTATCTTCAGTTTCGGAAGGTTGTTCCGCCAACATTCCACCAGAGTTCTTCAAAACGGCTATTAGTTTAGGTAAGTTTTGTGCTTTATTTAAATTAAATATTTTTGTTATCAATTGAGTGATTGTTATAATGCAAAGGGAATGAGTCATATAGTTGAGGAATCTGCCGGTCCATAGTCCAGTTTCATACCATTTATATTCTTTTGAACGGCAACAAATCGGTTTGAGATTCTGGTTAAATTAAATGTTATGTGAGAAAGTTTATGAACCTCAGGGTGAGGTAAAAAACTGCAGCAAAGTCAAACGCCAAAATGTTTACATTTGTTTTTAAATTTTATTGAATGAAAGCAAAAAATGTCGGAAATAGCATCAAATTTTAGAATAAGTTCGGATTTGTTCGAATTGGCCACCTTTGGCACAAATTATGGCCTTCACACGGCCAATGAAACCGTCACACGCTGACCGATTGTTGCTTTGCGGTATTTTAGCCCATTCCCGGCGAAGCGCTTGCTTGAGGTGAAGGACACTTTGGTATTTTTAGTGCTTTCCAAAGTACTCCAGACACAATAGTCCAACGGATTGGTATCCGGAGATTTTGGGTGCCATTGTGCGCTGAAAATAAAGCGAGGAACCTCATTTTGTAACCATTCTTGGGTGGCGCGTGCTGAGTGCAATCGTGCTAAAGTCCTGTTGGAATGTCCAAGGTCTGCGGCCAAAATGTTTGTGTGCCCAAGGCTTTAATGCACCCTCCAGGATATTTTAGCGATAATATTCGGCATTTATTCTGATGCCACGGTCGATAAATATGAGCGGAGAGCGACCATCGGCTGTTATGGCGGCCTACAGCATTACCATGGCCGGCGCTTGAGTTCTGGTGGCCAACCGAAAGTGCACATTTTCAGCTGACCTCTTTGGCAAGTAAAGACGATAATTTTTGTTTCTGCTGGACAACGAATGTTTTCTCATCGGGGAAAACCAAATTCGGCAGTTCACCACTTTCGGTCAAGAGAAGCAACTCTTTAGCCCTTTTGAGTCTATTTTCTTTCTGATGCGGTGTAAGTTCTTGCACTTTTTGGAATTTCAGTGGCTTTACCTCGAGCTCATCTTTCAATATTTGCCGAATGGAATGTTGCGATATATTTATCTCACGAACCATTTTTCGGCCACTGCGACGTGGGTTTCGATCAAGTCGCTTCTTTACTTTTCGAAGCATTTCTGCTGATGTTGCTTTTTCCTTCCGTCCACTTCCTTGACGTCGGGTTACGCTACCAGTATCACGGTACCGAGCGATGGTACACACATTTAAATGCTGAAGTGCTCTAACGATAGCCACTTGTGTTTTTCCAGCCAAATATAAAGAAATCACACTATCACGCTTGAATTCCTTCACGAATAACTCTTTTTCTGGAAAATTCTCACCAAAATGCTTTTGTACGCTTGTAAACAATATAATGAGCTGTCACTGGAATAATTTTAAAAGCTGTCGACCGAGTGGCTTAGAAATGACAGTAGGCTGAAGTTGGTTGCAGTTTTTATTATCTCACCCTATATGCATCCATTTAGTTTTCTTTGTTTTAAAACATTCAATTAAAATGCGGAATTCATTGGAATTTTCTAATCCATTTTCTCACAATTTTAAACTCAATAGCTTCTAAACTGACTCTTTTCTGCAAGCATATATTTTATTCCAATTTTCACATCTGTTATTCAATTTCCCCATTTGAAAATAGAAACACAATCAATGAATAACAGAAATTCAAATGCAATTCCAATGAGTATGACTATTTATTTATTCATAACAAAATGAACTTATTGATAAAGGTCATTTGCATTTGTGTGTGTGTTTTTTTTTTGTTACTAAACAATAATACATAGTAGAAATGTAAAGCTAAACATACATAGCTCACATGTGCATGTACCTATGCATGTACAAATAATTGTATCGTATCGGAGAATCAATTGCGAAAGAAAACGTTTCAAAGATATTAATAGCGTCGATGGGGTATTGGTATTTTTAAAGGACAAACAAAAACATATTGTTGTCGTTGTTGTCGTAAGTTAATTTCGTTTTCAAATTGGTAAATTGGTGTCCGAAAATAAACATCAATACCTTTGGTTTACTACCAACCTACGTATTATTAAAAATCATAACTAAAGGGGATATAAATAAAATTATTTGAATGAAAAATAACGCGATGTAAATTGTCTTACAATTATTTTGTGACGTTACTAATTTTATAAATAAATACTTTTAACAGTTTCTTACCCGGCCCACACGTAAAATTTCATGGAATGCCTTATAATACATTTAAACCGAATACATTAACCCCCAGCAAAGAGAGATAAGAAGACAACAAAATTTGTTTGTCATTAATAAATTGATTGTTTTTATTATTTTGCTTTCTTTTTTGTTAACAAATAGAAAACAATAAGTTCAATTTTTCTTTGTTAGGCCAGTTTGTTGTTTCGGCTTTAGCCACAGATGGTTAATATCATATGATACGGATAGAATTATACTTTGTGAAATTAAGGGTCCAAGATTCCATATAAGTATGTTTGATTAAAATACATTTCAGAACCTTGGGAGTTACTTGATCTGCGACAGCCCATTCGATTGCTCAAATGATACTTATCATATCTCTTAAAAGAAATATACAATTTAGGCAAAATTTTCCATTTTTGAGGCACCCGATGTAAAGGTGCTGTTGCTGTTATTGCAACAACTGGAATGTTGCTGCTTCCGCTTAATACTCGATGTCGGTTAGGAGAGAAGCAAACTCCTTTTCAAGCAGCATTTTGGCAGTAACGGATGATTCATTTCAAACTTCCGTACCGCCTTAAGGTTCGCCTTGATTAGGGGTTTTCCTTCTCCGTAATTCGGAACCTCTTACAGTACCTAACTGACCGGTTGTACCCCCTTCTTGCTTTACCCTCCGTCGTGCAGAAGTTATCGCGGTTGTTTGGGTTGTTGGTGGGTTAAGTATCCTCCATATCACCTTTCACAATGACTTCCCGCATTCGAGTGTTGGCCGCATCGGTGTCTGCCGATGGATCTATTTCTTAAATTAACCTCACCTGGGCGTCGGTTTGGGAGTTATCCGTAGCTTTTTGGATTGATTCAGCTTTCTGAGGTAAGGGTATCACAGTGACGTCGAGCTCCTCATCTGAGAGATGTGAATCATTTCCAAAGCCAGGTGGAAGGCTCTTTTGGCTCTGTTTTTTTTTCAAGAAGGGCGAACAGCTGTTCACTCTGTGTTTGTATGTTCTCACATACAACGTATCGGTACGTTAACAGTGTCAAGTCCCCACCCGCAATTAAAATCAAGTCCGTGGCCATGTCCTGGGTCGATGCCTCCAACGAGGCAGTTGAAACTGTGTCTGGGTTTGGTTTTGTTGTTTTTGTTTATTGTTCTTCATAAAAGTTGTAGACTGTGGACATTGTCCCTAAGACTACAAGGTCTTAGTTTCATTCATTCGATAGTCTCTTTAAATCGTCCGGGCATTCCACAGCTATCTGTGACAATAATATAAGTAGAAACAAAGTGCTAAAGTTATGGTCCTTCATGGTTTATAGAGAGAGAGTCTGTAGATCAATAGGCCTATCAAGCAGTATTGGATAGTATTCATTTTGATGCGGTCACCGTAGTTATAGCAGAATAAAGATTGAACACCATATCGGAGATCACCCGCCTACCATCGCAGCTGAAGCCTCGACAAACGTTAGTGGTTTTTTGGCTCAATTTAGATCCTAATGGTGCAGTCGGTCAATTCTTATTTTACTTGAATTGACATCAGTGCGCAGAACACCTGCCCAGCTCAATCGCCGTATGGGCCCAACCTGTACAGGTCGCTCAATTTTTTGAAAATCAAGAGGTATGGTTACATGGAGGCTGGATTGGACCCACATTGAAAATTCACGGAAGGAGCTAAACTACACGGAGATGAGAACACAGCTGAATGTCAAGGTCAAAGGAAATTTAATACCGACCACGAACTACCCCAAGATTCTAGGGGTCACATTCGAAAGAATGTTTAAGTCGTCCGCGCAAGCCACAACTATCTGGGAAAAAATGAAAAGTAGGAACAAGGTCCTTAAGGCGCTAGCCTGCAGCACTTGGGGTGCGGACAAGGAAACCTGGTTGACATCTCATAACACGATAGATCGGTTTGTGGTCAGCTATGCGGCTCCAGTGTGGTCTGTGAATACAAGTGCTACGTAGTGGGAACAAATCCAAAACCTTGAAATACCGAAAATCAAGAGGCACCTCTATATGGGGGCAATACTTAAATATAGCTTATTTTTAATACCAACAATTTTAGAGGATCAAGCATTGTATACACTTTGTTAATTCTGCGATCTAACCTATTAATTTGAAGGTTTCATCTCAAACATCCTATGATTTATAAAAATTATATTTTCTAAAAGTAGTTTACCTTAAAGACAAGTTTACAGAAAAGACAAGGACTGAAAAGACCTAGATTAGACATACGTAACTACTTTATTTATTAAACCCACATTTTGTATTCCATTTCAGGCTACTCATTCCTCGTCACATGGATAACATCATTTGTAATGGTCATTGTACACGAACGGGTACCGGATATGAAAAAATATCCACCCTTACCCGATATATTTCTCGACAATGTACCGCACATACCGTGGGCCTTTCACATGTGTGAAATTACCGGCACTCTACTGTTTAGCATCTGGGCGTGTGTCTGTATCTTTCACAAATGTCGCATGGTAATTTTGAGGCGATTTTTTGCACTGGCTGGCACAGTGTTCCTGTTGCGTTGCGTTACAATGTTGATAACGTCTCTGAGTGTGCCCGGTACACATTTGCAGTGTAATCAAAATGATTATGCCATCGATGATACAGCGTAAGTAGATTGATTGTTTGATTTTTTGTTAAACATATCTTCAATTGAGGGAAGGAGAAATTGTAATTTTTTATTCTCAATTGCAGCTTAACTTTAACCGAAGCCCTTTCCTTGCGCATATCAAGAGCGTATACCATATGGAGCGGTTTGGGTATGTCCATACAAGGTGTTCGTACATGTGGTGATTATATGTTCAGTGGTCATACAGTGGCATTGACATTGCTGAATTTCTTCATAACTGAATGTAAGTAGGAAATGTTTATTATATTGTTTAATTTATGTTATTATAATTATTTAATACATATATGTACTACTTATGAGTTGCTTCGGATTTTGGAGGAAGGGTAACTACAGATTTTTTAGTTACCTTATTGGAAGATCTTAGAAGAAATGAGTGGGAAAGTTGAAGGTATTGAAAGTGGCTGTTCATAGCGTGTCCTATGCCCAACTAATCAAGAAAACGAAACATGGTTTCAATTAGAAAAAACTCAATAATTATTGAGTTAATTGATTCTATGCAAGTCTCTTATACAGGGTCGTCTTGTAATGTTTAGCTATGGCCGAAAGTCTATTTAAGAAAGAGGGTGTAGGATGTAATTTATTGAAAATGGAATGATATGAGGATACCTTTTAATTTCTGTCCCAATTTCACACAAAATCGGTGTACAGGATGAGATGAAAAAACTGCAACCAACTTCAGACTACTTTCATTTCTAAGCCACTAGTCCGACAGCTGTTAAAAGGATTTCAGTGACAGCTCATTATAATGTTTACAAGCGTCAAAAGGATTTTTGGTGAGAATCTTCTAGAAAAAAAGTTCTTCGTGATGGAATTCATGCGTGATATGCTTTCTTTAAATTTGGCTGGAAGACCACAAATGGCTATCGTTAGAGCACTCCAGCATTTAAATGTGAATAAATCTTTTGAGTCTCGTACCATCGCTTGTTACCGTCATATTTGGTAGCGTAGCCCGACGTTAAGGAAGTGGACGGAAGAAAACAGCAACATCAGCAGAAATGGTTCGAAAAGTAAGAAAGCGACGACGATCAAAACCCGCGTCGCAGTGGCCGAAAAATGGCTCGTGAGCTGAAAATTCGTTAAATATTGAAAGACGAGCTCGGGGGTAAAGCCATTTAAATTCCAAAAAGTGCAAGAACTTACAGGATTCGACGGACCCATGTTTTGTTATGCGACTTTTGTGCGGTGGAGCGCCGTCTTGTTGAAACCAGAACTGCCTCATACGCTTTCGACGAATAATTGGCATCACAAAATTGGTCATCATGTCGCGATAACGCTCCTGATCGATGGTAACAGCATGGCCATTTTCATTTTGGAAGAAAAAAGGGCCCAATGACCGTTTTCGCACTAACGCCGCACCAAACTGTGACTTTTTCGTCATGAAGAGACACTTCTTGAATCTTCTGAGGATTTTCAGTGGCGTAAAAACAGCAATTTTGCTTATTTACGGTCCCTTAGAAGGCGAACTTCTCACATTTTTTAATGTTTTAAAAGCTCGTTGAGTTTTCACAATTGACTTCTTCTGTTGAATGTAAATTTCAACTATTTCAGAGCGCTCGCGTGGCTTGTATTGGTTCATGGTAAAAATCTGCTTGGACTGACGCTTCAAACGCGGTATGTCATTAAGCGATGTGACATCTCTGTCAAAAGTTATGAGTTGCTTCTCTTGGCAGAAAGTGGTGAACTGTCGAATTTAGTTTTCTTCGATGAGAAAACATTAAATATTGAAAGATGAGCTCGGGGTAAAGTCATTGAAATTCCAAAAAGTGCAAGAACTTACACCGCAACATAAAGAAAATAAACTCAGAAGAGCTAAAGAGTTGCTTCTCTTGGCCGAAAGTGGTGAACTGCCGAATTTGGCTTTCTCCGTGTCCGATGAAAAAACATTCGTTGTCCAGCAGTTTGTAAACAAACAAAATGATCGTGTTTACTTGCCAAAGAGGTCAGCTGAAAATGTGCACCTTCGGTTGGCCACCAGAGCTCAAGCGCCGGCCATGGTGATGGTGTGGGTCGTCATAACAGCCGATGTTCGCTCTCCGCTCATATTAATCGAACGTGACATCAGAATAAATTCCGAATATTATCGCCAAAATATTCTGGAGAGCTTATTAAAGCTTTGGGCACGGAAACATTTTGGCCGCAGACCTGGGATATTCCAACAGGACCCACCACCATCGCAATCAGCACGCGCCACCCAAGAATGTTTACAAAATGAGGTTCCTCGCTTCATTTCCAGCGCACAATGGCCACCAAAATCTCCGAATACCAATCCGTTGGACTATTGTGTCTGAAGAATATTGGAAAGCAAGGTTTGCACTAAAAAATACCAAAGTGTATATATTATGGCGTTTGATTTTGTTACAGTTTTTTATCTCACCCTGTTTTTATTCTTGATCAGCGTAAAATTCTATGTCGATTTAGCGATGTCCGTCCGTCTGTGGAAATCACTCTAGCTTCCGAACGAAATAAAGTAGGTTGATAAAATTTTATTTAAATGTATATTATGTCTGCAGGACTTTTGGTATTGAAAATGGGCCATGTAGGTCCACGTCTTCGTATAGCGCCCATATAACGGCATTTCCCGATATTCGGTTTTCTGATGATTTTAGCGACATTATTCATCGGAACTGTTTTAAATTCGGTATTTGAAGTTCGTAATGGATATTTCAGCCCATGATAGAATATTTTATTTTCAAGTCCACGCCTTCCTATAGCCCCCATATAACGGAACCTCCCGATATTCTGTATTTTGATGATTTTAGCGACGTTATTTACCGGAATTGTTTCAAATTTTGTATTTGAAGTTATTAATGGATACTACAGCCGGTGACAGAAAATTGTCTGTGCAGGTCCACGTCTTCGTATAGCCCCCATATAACGTCACCCCCCGATTTTTGGTTTTCTGAAACCCCTTTCTTTCGTAAGTTGGAATGGGCTTATATTTAAAAAAAGAATGGTCCTAAGGATACTGTGTTTTCACATCAGCCCACCATGGATTCTTGTTAAGAACTATCTGCTCTTTCCTCCATTTAAGGTAATATTCTTCTAATTTATGCATCTCCTTTCTTTATTTCTTCCTCTCGAAACAGACACACCGCGTAACCTCTACTTCTTGCACACCCTTAGCTGGCTCTTAAATATGTTTGGCATATTCTTCATTTTGGCTGCCCACGAGCATTATTCGATCGATGTATTTGTGGCCTTCTATATAACTTCACGTCTCTTCCTCTACTATCATACGCTGGCCAATAATCAGGCACTGATGCAACGTGACTCGAATCGTACTCGCATTTGGTTTCCCATGTTTAGTTATTTCGAGAGTTCCGTTGATGGTATTATACCGAATGAATTCGATTCATGCTCGGAGATTATGGATAAATTGTTACATTTATTGATCGAAATCAAGGATAATGTAATGTTGACAACACATCGACTATGGGTGGAGACACCCTATCTGAATATATCATCGAGAAATGTGCTATTTGTACCGAGGATAATGTTAACCGCAAAGCAACGTAATGCCGCAACATCGACTACGATAACAGCATCGAATACCCCAACAGCAATGCCTTCCTCGCCGCGAGCGACCGAATTTTGCCAAAAACCTTATGAGGAGGATGGGGGTGAGTTAATGAAAAAGAGTTTTCCCAGCGTCCCAAGGACCAGTGATGATGTAAAAGTTAAAAAGGTATCCATGGCTGAAGTGTCGTCTGCTAAGAAGCAGACAAACGAACAAACCCCCCAAACTCCTCTCACCAATAATAATAACAACAACAATAGAAACGTTGGTGGCAAAACCATAAAACTATCATAAGGGTTATTTTGTGGTTTTTGATCCCTACTTCGCTCGCTAACACCGTTGTCCATGCTGAAACATAACTTCATTTTTAAATGTTTTTCTTTTCTTTCATTTCTTCATTTGTTTTGTTGTAAATACACATATAGCAAAATATGCGCAAAAATATCAAAATATTTATAAGTATTATAGATTAATTTTAAACTCTCTCCCACTCTCTGTCTATCCCCTTTGTATTCCGGGCTAGTTTGATTGTTAACATTCCAAGCAGTGGTCTTGTTTTCCTGTCCTCTTTCGTGCCTTTGTCCAGGAATGGTAGAAATCAGTGCCATGAATGAAAGATTTTGAAAAGGTGTTTTCTTAGAGATGCCCATCTTTTTAAGGTATTTGGAGTTGAACGATTTTATAATGGACTTTTATAGATATCGGACCACCAATTCATTAATCTTTTAGAAATATTTCTTCTTGAAAAACAATTCTTGAAATGTGTTTCATAGGTCTTCCATCAAAGGAACTTGTTTGGAGGTTATATAAACCTGCTGTAGATAGTAGAACTTCTAAAGAAAAAGTAACTTCTAAAATTGTATAAGAAACGAAAATAATATTTCAGGTAGATAGAGGTCCTTCAGAGGAGATTTTGTCCTTAACATTTTTTAGCATAGTCGACCAATAGAACATCTGCTATAGATAGTAGAACTTCTAAATTTGTATAAGAAACGAAAACGTTTTTTCAGGTAGATAGAGGTCCTTAAGGGGGGTATCTGTTCTTAAAATTTAAACATTTTCGATCATTGGAACGCTTTTAAAGTTCTTGGTTTATAGAAGACATTTAGGTCTTTAGTCCATAAAAGGCTATTAAAAAATCGTTGAATTATGGAAGCCTTTTGGACCTTTTATATATTTTTTTATAGGTCTAACGAAGTCCATGTGACCTCTATAGCCTCTCCTTTTCTACTTGTAACGGGTTTTCTACAAACTTCCAATGGATCAACTTTTTGTTAAATCGATCCCCATAAGGAAATCTGCTATAGGTAGAACTTCTATAGATAAAGCACCTTCTAAATTTGTATAAGAAACAAAAATAGTTTTCAGGTACAGATTCTGGCATTAATTTTTTTAAGATAATAGACCAGTAGAGCGTTTTTCAAGTTCCTGATTTATAGAAGACATTTCAAAGGTCTTCAGTCCACAAAAGGCTATTCAAAGATCCTTGAATAAAAAAAGCTTTGAAAATATATTTTAGTTCTTTTATAAGTCTAACGAAATCTATGGGACCATTCACACATCTAATTCTACAAGGGTTTCTACAAGCTTCCAATGCATCAACTTTTGGGTAAATCAGTTTCCTTTAGGAAATCTGCCATAGATAGAAAGCTGCTATAGGTAGGACTTCTAAAGATAAAGCACCTTCTAAAATTATATAAGAAATGAACATAATTTTCAGCTAGATACAGATCCTTAAGAGGGGATTCTGTCCTTAAATATTTTAAGCATAATCGACCAATAGAACGTTTTTAAAATTCCTGATTTATAGAAGTCATTTCAAAGGTCTTTAGTCCATAAAAAAGCTATTCAAAGATCTTTGAATTATGGAAGCCCTTTAAAATATATGTTGGAACGTTTATAGGTCTAACGAAGTAAATGGGACCTCTATAGCCTTCCTTCACCTACTTGTAATGTGGTTTCCAGAAGCTCACAGTGAATCAACTTTTGGGTCAATCGGTTTCCTTTAGGTAATCTGTTATAGGTAGAACTTCTAAACATTTGTAGAAGAAACGAAAATATTTTACAGGTAGATAGAGGTCCTTAAGAGGGGATTCCATCATTTTTAAGAATAGTCGACCAATGGAACGTTTTTAAAGTTCCTGACTTGTAGATGAAGATTGAAGATCTTTAGTCCATAAAAGGCTATTCAAGGATCGTTGAATTATGGAAGCCTTTTAAAATATATTTTAAGATCTTTTATAAGTCTAACTAAGGCCATCCGGCCTCTATAACCTTCCCTCTTTTACTTGTAATGGGTTTTCCACAAACTTCCGATGAATCATCTTTTGAATAAATCTATTCCCATTAGTACTGCTGTTCCATTCCTGACTTAGGTGTCTTCTACACGAAAGAGTTTTGATGTTTCGGCTTAAGTTGAGTTTGGGGGGATGTACTCGGATTGACCGGTAATTTTTATCACATGTAGGCATCTTCAACCTTATTACAACAAAGTATATTCTTGGTGGGGAAAATGCCCGGTGTATTCGGTATTCGGTGTTGAACATACCCCAGAGGAGAAAATCTCAAGCCCTGGCCGAAAGCCGGCAACTTAAAAGAAGCTATAAAGGTTGAATACACAATTGTGGAGAATATTTAAATTGCATGAATATTATCATTAATATCTCCGGAATTATAAGAGATATCAAAACATTTAGCTCAATTTTGGAAAGCCAAGAATGTAGGCCATAATATAGTGTGCTGATCATGATACCTTATAATGGATCCATTTTCGAGTTTTTAATAGTTTTTCGAAAGTAATTTAATTCCTTGTACTACTCCGGAACCGGTTCAAAAAAAATATATTTATTATCACTTGTTTGATAGGTATTTCGATAAGCTTTTTAATCTTCGTAATTTTATACATATTTGTAGAACCGGATAAAAACGGAATTTTGTATCCGAACTTTCGGTTCGAATAACCGGGTATTTTCCCCACGAAAAAATAACTTTGCCGTAATCAGGTTGAAGGTTAGAAAAAATTGAAAATGATCCGAGCATAGCCCCTAAACTCAACTTGCTCCAATGTTTCCAATAGCCAAATAAAACCACGACTTAAGAAAAAATCTAGCCCGTTTCTTCTTCTTTTTTCTTAAAGATAATTTTGACTGATTGTTTTAAACATTTCGAAATGTACAAAATTTTGTGTTTTGTAAAATATAGTAAAAAAAAACTATTATTTTTGCTACAAAAAAGGGGGTTAAATTTGGAACTTTAAAAAATTCTGATAAACATAACCTCAATTTGGATTAAAAATTTCCCTGTGTAATTCATTCTTTGTAGCCACACATTATCATTTCCCCAAGTATTGTTAAATTAGGTAGATAAAAGAACAAAATTTAAACATTTTGAATTACATATTTATAATCATTCACACGCACATCAAAAAATCAAAATCAAAATATTATTAAAAAAATTAGTTAATTAAATGCAAACAAAATATATTTATTAAAGAAAATACCACCATTCCTCTTTTTCCAAATTTCTTGGGAGTACTAATACACAAACTCCTCCTTGAATTATACGAACTTTTCGAACTGGCGAAAAAAAAACAACTTTAAATTTAATTTTGAATACAACTAACTCTTAGCTAAAATGGAATTAACAAAACGTATATTAAATAAAATATATATTTACATATGAACGTATTCACTATATAGTATGTAGTCTAGGCTCTATTCTCTTAGTTATTAAGCAAGATATATATATTTGAATTATACTTTAAACGTCTTTTTCCTTTTTGCTCTGGAAGTAAATTAAAAAAAATAAAATCTCATTTTTTTTTGTTTCGATGAAAATATATAATTAAAAGAAAAATATTTTTTCATAAATAAAAATGCATGAATTAAATGAATTTTGTTGTGGATTTATTGGGGCCAACATAACAGGGTTATTTGCTGTGGGGCCAATGATTTGATATTCTACAACCCTACAGGGTGAAATGAAAAAACCTCAAGCAACTTCAAACTGCTGTCATTTTCAAGCCACTCGTCCGACAGCTGTTAAAATTATTCCAGTGATACAAAAGCATTTTGGTGAGACTTTTCCAGAAAAAAACAGTTATTCGTGAAGGAATTCAAGCGTGATAGGGTGTTTAGAGCACTCCAGCATTTAAATGTGAATAAATCTTTTGTGTCTCGTACCGTCGCTCGTTACCGTAATACTGGTAGCGTAGTCCGACGTCAAGGAAGTGGATGGAAGAAAACAGCAGCATCAACAGAAATGGTTCGAAAAGTAAAGAAGCGACTTGATCGAAACCCGCGACGCAGGGGCTAAAAAATGGTTCGTGAGCTGAACATATCGCAATATTCCATTCGGCAAAGATTGAAAAATGAGCTCGGGTTAAAGCCATTGCAATTCCAAAAAGTGCAAGAACTCACACCGCCACAGAAAGAAAATAGTCTCAAAAGAGCTAAAGAGTTGCTTCGCTTGGCCGAAATTGGTGAACTGCCGAATTTCGTTTTCTCCGGCTCCGATAAGAAAACATCCGTTGTCCAGCACTTTGTAAACAAACAAAATGATCGCATTTATTTTTGGCCACCAGAACTTAAGCCTCAAGCCGACCATGGTGATGGTGTGGGCCGCCATTACAGCCAATGGCCGCTCTCCGCTCGTATTAATCGACATCATCATCAATGACGAATATTATAAGAATAAATGACGAATATTATTGCGAAGATATTCTGGAGGTTGTAACCAAGAATGGTTCCAGCGCAAAATGGCCACCAAAATCTCCGGATACCAATCCGTTGGACTATTGTGTCTGGTGTATTTTAGAAAGCAAGTTTGGCACTAAAAAATACCAAAGTGTCGATCACCTCAAGAAAGCGCTTCGCCGGGAATGGTCCAAAATACCGACCGCAGAGCAACATTTGGGCAGCGTTTGACGGTTTCGTTGGCCGTTTGAACCGCAAACCGAGGAGCTCTTATGGGCACGGTTATGTAACACCGCAGAGTTAGGGGATCTCCACCTTTTAGGGGTATATCTATCTATACCTATGGCTCTAAGATGGGAAGTGGAACGGGTGCAGGTGTTTTCTGTGAAAGCCTAAATATTCGGAACTCATTTAAAATCAATAAAGACTGTTGCGTATTCCAAGCAGAAATCTGTGCTCTCAGGAAAGCCGTCGAATTGCTGATGAATCGAACAGTTGAAATGAACCGGTGACTATAAATGCCGATAGTCAAGCGACTCTAAAAGCGCTAAATTCATCCACCATCCAATCAATAGTAGTCTTGGAGTGCAGAATTACTCTAGAAAAAGTGAAGTGCTTTATTAAGCTTTGCTGGGTTCATGGTCACAGTAACATCTCTGACAATGAAGCTGCAGATGAATTGGCAAGAAGTGGCTCCGAGTAAACTGTTGTAAAGATTGAGAGCTCGGTGAAGCCGAAGCCCTTGTGCCACTTCTTCCAGATAATACATAAACATTATTCTGGATAATTTCAGCATAACTTGCAAAATGCAAGAAGCTGTATTGCTCTCCGAAGGGAGATCTCTATCACTCACATCCATGGCGAAATCTGACCTAAAACTTGTAGTAGGCTTAATCACAGGTCACTGTAATATTAGGACCATGACTTCTAAGTGGCTTTGTCAGGACGAGGAAGAGATAGAAACTGCGGAACACTTACTCTGTCCAACACTAGAGCCAGATAGAGGCGCACGGCTGATCTGTCTTCACTCTCGAATACTGAGGGCCGCCAGTAGTTCGTCTCGTCGAAACCAAGGATCACAGGCACTCGGATATTTTATCCGAGATTTTTCCCCTCGAAACTGCTGGGTTGTACGCGGCTGCTTATTTAATTCACAGCTACCCAACATATCTATTGGGCATTCTACTATCCGCAACCTGTGGATGAGTCCGGTATCACTCATCTATACTTCCGCGAACGGAGGTTCTTATAAAATATCAAAGGTTTAGATTTTTCAACCGCCTAATAAAAATGTTGCATCTTTTGGTGCACCTTTCAACTGCATCCCCGATTTTACCACCATTCTGAGCGGATAGTGTACCTCATTCAACATTTCAAAGTTCTAACTATTACCGCTAGCCTCCATTTTTCGTACCCTGAAACTTCGAATTTCCAAAAATTCCCTCTGCACCCGTGTAAAATTTGCTGATTTTATTTCCAGTTGTTTTGGCTGAACATTGACAAATATTAGGTCAGTCCAGCGCAACCTTGCTCACAATATATGTTTTAGTAGGGGTGAAAGACTCTGTTGACCTTCCAGATCAATGGCAAATGATATTTGAGAGAGAATACGTGTGATTTGTTGATACATTTCCTTTGACACTACAGATCTCACCTTTGGTCTTCATCGCCCACGAATCGATGAAAAGAAAAACACTTTAAGAATGTAATTTTTTCCAAATCAAGTTTTTTCAATTTATTGCTTTCTTTCATTTAAAATCATAAATATTGCTTATAAATAATTGATTTCAATTAAATTCCTGCATTTACTTTTTTTCTCAATATACCCTAGAAAATCCTATGCTAAAAAATATAAATAATTTAACCTATTATAAATAAATACTTTCGATTATTTTATTGTGGTTAGGTAGTAGTTAGGGGTATGGATAAATGGATGATGAGGAAAAATGTAATGAATCTCTGAATGTTATTTACACAAATTTAAATCCTAAATGGAAAATTTTAAATGTTAGATGATTTGGTGCGGAATATCTAAAAATCTATTTACAAATAATATTGGCATTATATTGTAAAAAAATAAATAATTCTTACAATTTATATACAAACATAATTCTAATGATGAAGATAGTTAGATGATGAGGATGATGATGGGTGTCATTATGGATGAGCATGAGTTATTTTGTTGTTGCTGATGAGTTAATACAATGTCATTGTTTTCGTAATTCCTTTGAATGTTGTCATCTAAAACTAATGCCACATTTTTTACTAATCTGTGGCGTGTGTATGGAGGCTATGGACAGCAGCAATGGTACATCATTTTCGGATAGATTTAAAGCTGTCGTCACAGCACTCAATGAACAAAAATCAGTTTCCAACAGAAAGGCGGCCAAGGTTTCTGAATGTAAATAGATTTCCTGAAGTTTTGATTCCATGAAGGCGAGACACTGAAATTTCAAAACAAACAAATATTCAATTATAAAAATATTCCAAAAATAGGGGAAAAAGTGAGAACCCACCTCATAGGCCGATATGCCGGCACTGTTCATAATTTGCACCGTTTCCAGCATTGAGGAAACCAGCTGGGACATACCCACAGGAGCGCTTTGTCCTCCGGCATATGGAAAATGTTGTGACTGAGAGGAGATTAGTTTTACATCCCATTTCTCCATGTCGGCAATGATGGCAATGTTTTCGGCAGGCAGTGAGATTAGAGAAGCGGAATGAGCGGCCAGCGCTAGATCTTCTCGTAAATTCATTTCCCATTTGGAGGGAGAGGCATAGGTACCCTAAAATGAAAAAAAGGATTAATAAAACATTTCTTTTCCACTGCTTGTTATGCATCCTACCTGCAACACCATATCCGGCACATAATGATCATTGACATTCAGAAACAATGAAGGTATAAAGCCCACTGGCAATTTCATGTCTCCGCCACTTAGTTCCTCCTCCTGTGGTATATCCTTGACAGCTGGTATGGGCATTTGTAGCAAATGCATTGCCTCATTGGCGGCAGCACATTTGGCCGCAACCGATGACATGGAGCCTCGCTGCGAAGAACATTTCTTTTGATTGCTATTAAAGAAAGCCTTACGCGGAGCCTCTGAGGTGGGAGTTAACAATTCTCTCATCTCAACGTCATTGGAGGAGGTTGCCACCACATCACCGCCATTGTTTCCCTGCTCGTTGCTGGATATCAGTGTTTGTACCGAGGCCTGTGAACTGACTGTGGTCAGGGCTGGTGTTGAGGGACTTGTCTGTTTGTTTTTATTAACAAAACAATGGACCTCATCCGTTTCGAATTCCAACTCAGTGGCATTAGAAGGTGTCTGATAGGCATTCAATAAATCCTGACAGACAATACAATTCGGTGTGGTATTAGTAGTGGCTGTTTGCTTGCTCTGGGGGAATGTACTGGTAAGGCTTGAATTATTGCCCGCTGAACTGCTATTTTGGGCCTCCAATTTCGAACACTTGTCCATCAGCAAATCATAATTGTTAATGAGCAGATTTTTACTCTTCATATAATTCTTAACAATCTGTGGATATTGTTCAAAATTAAATTTAACTCCCGAATGTTTTTTCAGTTGCTGGGAACCGGTGTTGGTGGTGTTCGAAGCATCTGTCAGGGGATGGTGTAAACGTTGATGGAGAGCACAAAGCATGTGTTCAGAAGATTTCTGTTGCGTAGAATCGCCAGACATTTTTGAATCAATCACATCCCCACTCAAATCTTCGGTACTACGTTTTATGTTGACCAATGGCTCATTGTCGCCCAGTACAAAGACCACCCCACTGCCGCTTTCTTCTTTGTTGCGTGTAATACCATGCTCCCGCTCGATGAGTTTGTGGCATAAATCAAAGTGCATTTGTTCCTCAAGGCTGACATTTTCCTTAACCGGCTCCACACCCCAGGTCATGGGGCAATCACTTTTACCAATACTATTTTGGGTTATGAGATACGATAGCGATACATGTTGTGTGGCCGAATTGCTCTGTTTTCCCTTATCATCTGAGACCGCCGTGCCACTGCTCATGCACTGTTGTATTTTGTTGACATCATTTAAACTGAGACCTTCCTTGACCTCTGCCGCTGTCATGCTCCAAAAGAAGGGTCGTTTCTTACGATGTTCTTTGCCTCCGAATGCTTTATTATTGTTCGTCTTTTCTACGGCCGGCAGAGTTTCAATTTCTATGGCCTCCAGTACACCTTCCTCAGCACTGGCTATACAATAGCTACTGGGATCCTCAACAATTAATTCCACATTTTCTGGGGTGGTCAGTGTCAAACGTATTCTACCATCTGCTGCCTTATTATTGGCCAACTCCTTTTGTTTGGCCTTCGAATACTGGGCCACAGAGTTCCTCTCAATACCAGTATCCATCAGATAGTTACCAATACGCAACTCCTGCTGAACAAAACGGGAATCTCTAAATGCCAAGACAGTGGGAATTTCATTCATTTTATAGGTGCGTATGGCTTCATCCGTCAAGTGGTCAGTTTCATCTTCGTATTCTTCGTCCCTTTCACACAAGCTGGCATAGCTGTTGTCATCTAGTCTTCCCCCACTCCCACCAATGTCATGTAAACTGAGATTCTGTTTACATGTTTGAGATCTCGTCAAACCGCTTTTCGTACCACCGCCACCACCATTGTTTGGTATGCCGGAAAAAGCCCTGCTGCCATCATTGCTCCCCATCCTCTTACCACTGCCATAGAGCGTTGATTTCTTAAAAGTTTCATTTTTGGTTTGGGCCACAATATTATTTATGGTGTCCTTGTTGAAATCTTCCTTTTTGGCAGAACGCCTCACCTCGCCGCAGCGTATGAAATATGTCAGGACATTTAAAAGTCTTTCTACGGACAGCTTTTCCGTGCCGTATATCACTGTCCTGGCCAGTTTCGGAGGCAGACCAATGGCGCCAAATAAATCACCCATTTGGGCCCACAGGGCATTGTAGGGATGCTTTTGCGAGACCTGTAACAGCTTGGCACGCTGCTCAACAGCTGCCGTTGATGATGTGGAACTAAATGGTGACACTGTGGGAACCCAGCCCAGGTGATGAGTCAAAATTGCCGTCAACATGGTGCTTATAAAACTGCAAGGAGAGAAGAAATCAGAAAAATCGGACACTCAAAAGAAGAAATGCCATGGCAAACTTACAAATTTGTATCTTTGGTATCGGCAAAGGAGAGCAGCCAACACAGCTCCTTTATGAAACGTTCGGCCACATTTTTCGAGTATTTACTGCCGCTGGTGGTTATGCTTAGCCACACGGGACATTTAATGCGTGGTGCTGTAAATAAATCCACAAACCATTGTTGGGTGTCCTGCCAGATTTGAAACATAATCTGCAGAAAACTACTGTGGTGTATATAGGCTCTCTCCGTGCTGGCCCTTAAACGGCTCAACATACTCTCGAACAGTGCAATGTGTTCACTGCAAAATAACTCCATTTCCTCTTCGAACGACTCGCTCATTGTTATGCACACGGCTAGGCCCAGTTTGGCTCGACGTGACGCCGCTTTCAGGGAACTCATTTCTCGTCTACGACCCATTTCAGGATTACTGCGAGATTCATTTGTTGTTGTTGCCGCTGCTGTTGTATAGCTGTTAGGTCTGACACCCAGATTCAAGCCTTCACTACCGCCCGCCCCTGGTGCACTGTTATTGTTCAACATACTGTGTGGGTAGTTATCCGTCACGAAACCAATCAAATCATTCATGGAATTTTCATTTTCAAACGATGTCACAATGTTACGTGATATTCTGCGCTGGAGACTGCCATCACTGGATATGCCCATGGCATTGGTACTACCCGAACAACTGCTTCCGGTGTACATATTGGAATCAATACTACATTTTCGTACACGTTCCGATTGTTCGGACATCACAGAACCCAAACTACTACGTGTAGAATATTGATACGAGGCAGACCATTGGTCGGAGGAGGAGTTGGTGCCACCAGTGGCTCGACTTAGACCCGAATAGCCTGAATCTGTACCCGTACTATAGGTCGATGAGAACCGATGGCCACCACTGTCAGCGGCACTATCCGTACTGGTCATTATCGATTGCTGGTCTATTGAGGGTACATCGAGCGGGGAGGAGACGGAGTTGCTGAGATCACTGGGTGTTAGACTTTGGTTACGGCCGCCAATCGTCATGGAATAGGGCAAGGAAAAAGAGCACATCGACAGACCATCTATTGAACCATGTTCACTGCATATTGAGGTACGCGGTGTTGCCAAACTATTTGTGGATAATGTGGAATACGGCGAATGGCCATTGTTGTTTGGTCTCAATGGTGTCAAAAAGACCTGAGAACACAGTAGCCTTGATTGTGGCTGGAGCCAGTGGACTTTCAGGGAGGTACCACGAAATGACATGGCCGAGGCACCGAATACCATTTCACCCACACTACTGATATCCGAGGAATTTGGACGATTGTGCTGGAAGGGAAAACACATTCTTTAATGAGCAATTCTAGACAAGGATGATTTTTTTATTAAAATTACCTTGTAGCCATATTCATCGCACACATCAATAAAACCGCCATTGGAATGGGCTCCTTTATTCGAATTGTTCGATGATGCAGCAGCAGCGGCATTCAGCCGATCAGAGAGTAATGAGTCCTTGTTGTGATTATTGTTCAGACTTGTTAGATTATTTGCATGTGATCCGCCGCCTCCCCCCAATAATGAGGATGACAATGTCGTTCTAGAGCCATGTTTACTGCTGCTACCACTGCTGCTATTGTTGTTGCCATTCTTTTCCTTGTGGTGATAGACCTTCTCTAAGGCATTTGAATCGAAAAGTAAACGCCTGCCCCGTGTATCACATTCCCGGTAGACCAAGATGCGCACTTGACTTCCATCAAATGGAAACTGACTAAAAAAGAAAAAACAAATGAGATTGATATTAAAATATGTTAATTAACTGAATTGATGATGATCAAAAACAGCTGTTGCCTTTGATGTTTGTCATTAAGGAGTGGGGGATAAGTGAGAGTTAGTCCGAATATACATGTAGAAAGTTTGCCATTAAGGACGTGAATTTTGGTTGAAAGGGTTTTTGCCTTGTTGAGCTCCCATTTTTTTCAACAAAAAAAAAAAAAAAACAGTTTTCTTCCTGGTTATCTCCTTTTACACAGACCCCAGAAACTTTCTTTAAACAAAACATGAGTTTGAAAGTAAATGAGAGAGAAGGTTATAGTAGAGAGAGATAAACAACATATGTGAGAGTTTTGAGAGACTTATTCACCTTTACTAAACAAAATTTAGGTATAGAAATGGCGGGAATATGTTTAATTTTTTTCACTCCAATTTGAATTTGTTATTACTAAAAAGAGGAGATGACTGAGAAAAAAGATTACGTTTCTCATACTTTCAAAATAGAAACAAAAAGCAGCATGAAACTTGCGATTATCGATCTCAAAGAAATTCAATGAAAGAGCAAGAGAGAAAATGTCATTACATTTGACGTGCAATTATTTTGATTGGAAATAATCGATAGTGTTAATCGGCCTAACAGAAAACATAAGATATTAATCGTCTGGGTTTTATGAAGCAATAGGCTGTGGGTTTTATGTGACATTTCAAGGAAAAGCTATTTAAGAACTCGTTTATTAGATTATAATTATGAAGAAATTAAATATTATAAATAACAAAATATTCTAGTAGGGATTTACTTCATTTTTTTTAAGAAAAGTGTAGGCATACTTCTCGCTCCTTACGGTCAAAGAAAAATATGAATATGAAATGCTTCCGTCATAAAATATTTGACAAATATATGTGAATATTTTCAATTTTATTCTCATAGCAATGATAAAAATTTTTACTTGTTTAGTATCTCTTGTGATTTCAATTTTTAACACCACTTGACAACTTTTTAACTTAAAAATATATTCGATTCATATTTTAACTTGAATGGCAACAAGTCATATGACAATTCATATGACACATTTTAAATATAGGCGAAATGTTTGCATGAAAATGACGCTAAATACATTGTTATTTAACACCCAAGGTTTGTTACTGTGTATTTCAATTTATCTAAAGTGGGTTTTTAGTTCAAATTTTACATATTGTCTGCAACATTTGCGAACATACCCGTATGCTACAAATACATACATACATATCTATGAGCTAAGTACCTACCTACTTTACCAAAAAGAATGCTATTAAGTCTAATCCATATCTGTGACAAATATCTATTTAAAAATCTAAATTTTTTCAAAATTCCATTGGTTTTGGCTGAGATATTCATGCGATAATCCTATGCACGTCTGTTTGGCCCTGTGTTAAAAGGTACTTGTTCAGCTATTTATTCATTGTTTTTGAGTGGGAATTGATGTGTGGCCGACATGTACTTGAACTCCGCACAACAATAGTAAAAGCGAGCAAAACAAAAAATAACTGTATAAAGACTATCATTTAGTACGTCATTGATGGCTGAGTAATGCGAGGTATCATTTTTGGTCGATTAATGATGTCACTACCAATTCGAGATAAATTTGTTTTCTTTTAATTCAAGTATCATAAAAATTGTGGTATTTTTTTGCAAATCGTTGTCATTTAGTCTTGTTTACGGAGGGGGATTATAAAAAAATCGGCCTTTCCCAAGTGTCTACTATCAGCAAGGCAACGCCAATACAATTATCACCTTGCATTGTGTCAACGTCATTTATCAAAAAAGCAAAATTTGCCATCATTTTATGTCTTTTGTGTGTGTGTGGAGAGAGTGTGTGTTGGTGAAGATGAGTGCTCGCCTTGGCCATCAATATATGGGTGTGTGTGTCAGTCAGTAAATAATATCATTATACCCGGCCTTTTGTCAAATGTCAAACAAACATCAAGTAACAAATAAATCGTACAATAACAACAACAATTATAAATCCCCCCAAGTCATGTGTGTGTAGGCTATGTGTGCCACCCATTGTCTTCATTCATTTCAAAAAATTATTTTTAATCATTTCATTTCTTTAACCAATATTTTCTTACGTAGGTACTTGACGACGTTGTTGCTATTGCTGTTGGCTTGACGTGAGTAATGCTACTCACGTGCTTTTTTCTAAATATAAATTGTTCTCTCTCACTCTCACTCAATGCCACACACACAGACAGTACTGCTGTGCTGCTTTCACTCACACCAATCATGTTAGTTAGTTAGATTTTCGCAAAATAACGAAAAAACGGCAAAAAAAAACAGCAATAACAAGTAGTCAATAGCCCTCTGAAAACGATTTCTCGGTCACGGACATCAAACACGTAAATTTGCTACAGTACTATCTATGGCAATTATTACCATAATTCGTTTGGTTTCCGTCTAACCAAATAGAGACATTAAATGGGAATTCTTATTGGACTTTTAATTGGAGAATTTATCAAAGAAGATTACTTTTATAGAGGGAGAGAGAGAGAGAGCAGAGTAACTTGGTTGCAGTAGTTTACAGTAATCATGTAATCGATTAATAATTGAAAAAATAATAATCGAAGGGCAGATAACAACTTTAGGAGAAAGTGACCGTTATTGATGTGTTTCATTCACGAGTGAAGATGAGAAAAATACCGTTATTGATGTGTTTCATTCACGAGTCTATAGATAGACTATATTTTCATGTTTTATAATTTTATATAAAAATTTTATTTTAAATAAATTTAAAATGAAAACTATAACAAAAATGAATAAATCCTTTAGATTTTCGTATTTTCTTCATTTATTTCAATTGTTTGTCATGTCCTTCTCCCATCGTTTATTGTACCCAAAAATGGATCACCATTTTGAGTGACCTAGTTGCACTTTTCGATTAAAGAACTAGTTCACTTGTGAACTGTTTAATATATAACTGATGCACTTCTAAACAGACAGATAAATTTCCCAAAGTTTTAAATGGTAAGAAGGGTAATAATAATTGTACCAAATACTGTATTCCTAAACCATATGAGTAACAGCAAACATTACTACTGCTAACGTCAAAAAACAAAATAATAACAATAAGAAGAAGAATAAGAATGCCCATCTGAGAGAGCGTGATGAGTGCTAATTGAAAGATCAGCATGAATTCATTTGCGAAACAAATTAACACAATTTCAACAAAGATTTCATTATGGAAAACAACAACAAGTCGAGTTTATGGATGAAATGTTGAAAGTCTAGATGCGGTAAGTAAGACAGTATAAAATATACACAACATAGATTTTAAAATAAGTGGTCACAAGTCAATTGATCTGAAATTTTGTTTTATTTATAGGTAGGTGGATGTGTGGATGAAAGTATAAGTGTGTGTGTGTGCGTGTGAACATTCATTGTAAAGATTATTTTTTTTAAAAAAACAAAAACCAGGCACGTGATCTCTTTTAGTTGTGGGTATTTTTGGAATGAATCAGTTGCGCTTGAGAGAAACAATAAAAAAATGAGTTTTAAAACTTTAAAAGGGTAACCAGGGCGTATGAGTTACTTAAAAATTGATTATTGGTATTTTATCTATTATACGCTGAGGATTTGGACTTTAGCATGGTACAATAACCTCTTATAAATATTATAATCTTGAGACGAATCTTTTTTCCATTATTAAGAAATTTTTGGAAAAAATGTAAATTAAACCAATCAAAACGTTACATGTCTAAGTAGTCTATATGACAGAATAAGATTTTACATTTTCTACTGGTCTTTTGCAGTGACGGCGAAATTAATCTCCAACCTTACAAGTAAAATGGTATCAATCGGTTTTGATTGAGTTGTGATTATTCAAACTGTTGACCGTTTATGGGTGAGGTTCGAAAGCAGTTGGTTTGACCACTTCGTATCTGACCTAAGACTGATATAAATTTTCGGATTTTTTTCCAAATAATTCCATTTAAACAACATTCAGATGAAGAGCTATAATATCCGAATCGTTTGAAGTGGGCTTTAAAAGAAAAATTATTTTTTATAATATATTTGTATTATTGCATTACCCTCCCGTAGAATAGAAGCCATACCTCCCCCATTCCATATTTCCATTATTTATTTCCCATTAATACTCCATGTATTAATTACCCTAAATTTAAAACCAAGAAAAACAACCGACCCCAACTAAACTATACTTCTTAAAAGCTTAACTATAATATCCTCGACAATAATGTATAGGGCACTTAAAATATTGTTATCTCTTACACCAAAACCGCCGCAGAATGGAATTTAACACGAAAACAAAAATTAAATAACAACAAACTATTTGTTAAATAAAAAGGGGGGTTCTCATTATCTAATAACATGGTATTATGACACAAAGTTTCCCACCGCACATAGAAGAAAACACAAACTACAAACCTAATATTAACTAAATTCGTAGGTAGGTAACCACAACTGTCATTATATTTTAAGCCTACCCTTGTTTTTTTTCTTTGAACTTGTGCTTCTTTTTTATCACAGACATTGTGGAATTTGAAAACAAATTTTTCTTAAGTCGAAAAGATCTGACCGAGGCGCCACCATTATCTGCAGTGTCTGATCATATGGGTGCCCACCATGCTGACCATGTCTGTGGACAAAGGGTAAATTTGAAAATTTAGTCATATCTAAAATTTAGTCACACATACAAGTCATTGCATTATGCTAAAGCCGACCCATCACTGTTGTATTCTAAAGGTATTAAATATTTCATGTGATTTTAAAAAATGAGTCGTAAATTATTTTTCTGAATCATTTGAATGACATTTTATTAAGAAACAAATAAAGAAAGTAATAAATTAGCATGTTTTTGTGAAATGTTATGCAATTGTAATCCAACCCTGGTCAAGCTGCTCTCTCTCAGTAAATGAACAAAATCTTTAAATGAGCATGATTTTTGACAACTCAGCAATTACTTTTTATACGAGAATTAAATTTTAGAGCTGAAATACATAGCTGTAAATATCTCTGATGTACCTTTATGCCTTAAATGGAATCTTAAAAGAAAAGCGACATCTCTTCTATATCACGTAAACGATGTTTTGGTGACTTCGATGGGTTGCCATATTGTTGTGATATTTTGTCTATTTTCCCATATCTCTTCATTTACTGAGAAAATAAGTCTCTCAGGGCGATTGTTACATGTAAAGAATATAACAGAACAAAAGCAAAATGCATCACTGTCACTTTTTCTCAAACCATGTTCCTACGAGCAAACATTTTAATTTTCTTTCTATTCAAATTACACGACTAAAATTGTAATTTTGACTCAAAATAAAGTGACAATCCTAGCCCCGAGAACGATTATAAGGAAGAGAGACAGAGAGTGAAATTTTTGGCGGAATTCTATGTCTTGCAAGTTTTTTAGGTGGCATTTACTAAAGGGAAATAGTCTTTAATCAGAAAACAGCAACATCAGCAGAAATGGTTCGAAAAGTAAAGAAGCGACTTGATCGGAACTCTGGTCGCAGTGGCCGAAAAATGGCTCGTGAGCTGAACATATTGCAATATTTCATTCGGCAAATATTGAAAATTGAGTTGGGCGTAAAGCCATTGAAATTCCAAAAATTGCAAGAACTTACACCGCAGCAGAAACAAAATAGACTCAAAAGAGCTAAAGAGTTGCTTCGCTTGGCCGAAAGTGGTGAACTGCCGAATTTGGTTTTCTCGGTCTCAGATGAAAAAACATTCATTGTCCAGCAGTTTGTAAACCAACAAAATGATCGGTCAGCTGAAAATATCCATCTTCGGTTGGCCACCAGAACGATTGGTGGTGTGGGCCGCTATAACAGCCGATGGTAGCTCTCCGCTCGTATTAATCGACCGTGACATCAGAATAAATGCTGAATATTATCGCGAAAAAATTTTGGAGAGTGTATTAAAGCCTTGGGCACGCAAACATTTTTTAACGCAGATCTTGGACATTCCAACAGGACTCAGAACCATCGCACTCAGCAGGTGCCACACAAAAATGGTTACAAAATAAGGTTCCTCGCTTCGTGACCACCAGTGCACAATGCCTACCAACATCTCCTGATACCAATCCGTTGAATTATTGTGTCTTGTGTATTTTGGAAAGCAAGGTTGGCACTAAAAAATACCAAAGTGTCGATCACCTCAAGCATGCGCTTCGCCGGGAATGGGCCAAAATACCGCAGAGCAACATTCGGGTGGCGTGTGACGGTTTCATTGGCCGTTTAAAGGCCATAATTCGTACCAAATCTGACCAATTCGAACAAATCTAAACTTTTTCTAAAATTTGATGCTATTTCCGACATTTTTTGCTCTCATTCAATAATATTTAAAAAAAAATGTAAAAATTATTGCGTTTGACTTTATTTTATTTATTTATATTTACACTGTGATCCATGGTAGAAAATTGGGAAATTTTAAATGTCCTTTCTAATATAAGTAGATTTTTATATGTTTTCTTGCACGACGTCAATCGGAGGTTATTATAATACGCATTTTCAACGAGTTTTACAAATTTAAATAATTTTTCATTCAACATTTTCAATTCCAAATTTGTTTTCACAGTTCATCAGTTGTGTCGATGCGTCTTCCTATATTCTTCTACCATGGTATGATCTAAAATTGGTATTTCGCGTTGTTACAAACCGAATGACACAATGGTCTATCAGCTACGTGCTCGGTATTCCATTTCATTTTCAAAAAATTCTAAATAAATCACTTTTACCTATTTTAGTTTCTTAAAATTTGTTAAACTCGTTTTTAAATCCATCTATAACAGTCCTTGGAATTTTTTTTCTCATTTTACATTTTATTAGTATTTATATAAGAATGTAACACCTTCATTGGCATTCTATTATAATTCTAACAACCCATCCCTGATATGACAACCTGTCATCCTTTCAACTACATTCTCATTCTCAATCTCCTTTCCATTTTATATTTTTGTTCTTTATTACCACTAATGGATATTCTCTCATTCATCAATTGAAAAGAGATCATGGAGAGAACATATACAAATGTAAACAAATTACATCTCTTTGCAATGAAGGTAACTCTTTATTTTAACCGTAATATTATCTCTTTTCCTGTGCTCTTGGTGTAATTTTCCAATTCTAACTATCCATCTCTGATATGGCCACCTGGTGAACTGTTACCCTTTCAACTACATTCTCAGTTTCCTTTCCATTTTATATTTTTGTTTTTATTGCCGTTAATGAATATTCCCTCTTCCCCATTGAAAAGAGATCATGGAGAGAACATATACAAATGTAAACAAAATACATCTCTTTGCAATGAGAGCTCTCTTGCAATGAGGGTAACTCTTTATTTTAACAGTAATCTCAACTCTTTTCGTAAATTTTTGTTAAATCCTTTTGGTAATTTTCCAATAAGGATTTTACAAAAAAATTAACTTAAAAAAACACTCACTTGATGGGTAAATATAATGGCGCCTTCATGCGTCTTTTAATAGCTTGCCGTGTTTGGGTGCGATGCACGCGCGTTTTATCCAAGCCGTAATTTCAATTTAAATTTGGAACACTTTTCCGCGTTTTTTTTTATTTTCTTGGGACACTAGTTGTTGCCGATGGTACAGCAATAAATGAGCGTCGTCGCTAATTTTAATTAAAATGTACTATTTTTGTTGTTTTGGTATCATCGATAATAAAGGCAAGACGACGCGGTTGTTGATAGTGTGGGATGGCTGGATGGTTTGTTGGTTGGTTGGTTGGTAGGCGAGTGGGTGGTAGGTAGGTTCGACTGGTATCTATTCGTGGTATTACTTTTTTTTTATTATAACACTACTCTGCTGTTAACAATTGAATTTCGGTTCCATTACAAAAACAACAAAACTGATAAGATTTTCACATATTTATTTGGAAATGTTAATAATAAACATTTTCCGGTACACATTTAGATTTTGTTCCTGCTTTTTGGCAAAATCATCTTTGCTCATGGGTAAAGTTATTGGGTGTGCACAAATATTTACATAGGCAGGGTAAAAAAAAATGTTTGCTTGCATTTGCCCGCTTTTTTAATTTAATATGTTTTCATTGGGCTCAATTCCTTGTTGGGGGGGCTTTATTGATGGCGATGTTGTTGTTGACTTTGAACTCATAAATTATTATTGTTGGATACGACGGAATGGTAATTGAGGTGGAGAAGCAAAAAAATCGCAACAATTTTTTCCGTATATTGCCGCGATAACGAATTCACGAATTATGTTTTTGAAGTTCAAGGCGCCACTTTCGATTTTTTTCAACCAACAACCATCATCATCATCATATGCTTGATAATGAGCCGCCGCAGGCAACTAATTACTTCTGCTGTGCTTTTTTTTAGACGGACGACAAGAACTCACATGCACGCAAACACACACACGCGCATACATAAACGGTTTTTTTATTTTGTATGACCAATTGATTTGTTTTGCGATTATGATTCGATTAAATCGCATTGATGAAGTATGGTATTTCGAGTAGAGGCGAGGAGACCGTCCGTTGCGAGTTCCGTATATTTATCGCTTGCATGATTTTCAAACGCGGGTTGGATGATGACTGGTGTGTGTAGCCAGCTAGCTCCAAGTCAGCTGCAATCGCCCGCCAAGCAGCCAACCAGCGAGCCACACCAGAGTGGAACAACAAACATTTAACCCTACTGTTCGACGATCGGATTGAGGCAACTCTGTGTGTTGTGTGTGTTGGGGCGACGCGCAACGACACAGGTTCGGCAGTAGCAGCACGAAACACATAGTGAACCAATACAACAGAGATGGGAGATTGAAATTCATAGTTTTTTTGCAAGACACTAAAAAGGGGCGAACAAATCGAAAATAATAACCATTTCATTGACATTTTTTTTCTTTTTTTTTTCAAAAAATTAAAATTCAAAATTTATATAAAAATTAAATATTATATTAAAATTCAAAATTTTTACGTAAATAAAAAACTGTTGCATTCAATATTAAAATAAATAAATTTTTTTATCATTTATTTTTTTTTATAAAAATTCAAATTATTTTGAAATGTTCAATTTTTATTAAAATTATAAATGTATATACAAATGACAAAATTATTAAAATTCAAAAATTATATGAAAATAAAAAAATTTGCATTTAATTTAAAAAAATTAACTTTTTATAAAAAATCATAGAATTGATGCTTATTTTTTTCCTTTTTTAAAATTTTTATTTTTTTTGGAAATAAAAAATTTTAATTTTTTTTTAATAATTTTTTTTTCGGATTTAGAATTATATTATATTTTCTTAAAAGTTTATATTTTCATAACAATTCCAAATTCAATGATTTTGATATGGGAGATTAAAATTAACAGTTTTTTTGGAAATAAAGCCATTAAAAAAGGACAAACAAATCGAAAATATTAACCATTTCTTTAAAAAAAATTAAATAAAATAAAATCGTTTTTTCAAAGTTTTATTCAAATTATTTTTTTAAATTCAAGTTTTTTATTTTAATTTTAAAGTAAAAACTTTTTATCAAAATAATTCGTTTAATTCAATTTTTTGTAAAATTAATTTTTTAAATAAATATTTTTTTAAAAAATGATCATTTTTTTAAAATATTCAATTTTTTATAAAAACTCAAAATTTATATAAAAATAAACCTTTTTATGAAAATTCATAATTTACGGGAAAATAAAAAATCCTACATTAATATTTCCCAAAAAAAATCAATTTTTTATAAAAATTCTTTTTTATTATAAAAAATTCCTTAAGAACTTAATTTTTTATAAAAGCTCAAATTTCTATAAAAACGCAATTTTTTACAAAAATCGAAATTTTTCTTTATTTTTTTCTTTTTTTTCATTAAATTTTAATTTATATGAAAATTAAAAAAAAATCCAAAATTGAAATTATACATCAAATTTAGTTTTTTTTTTAGAAAATAATATGATTTTTGTTAAAAAAAATGTTTATATTTTTATAAATTTCATATATCTATAAACATTCTAGATTCATTGATTTTTTAAATAACAATTATCGAAAATTTTTTATAGAAATTCAATATTTTATAAAAAAAATAATAAAATGTTGATGGAAATCCACAATTAAACAAAATTGAAAAATTTGTATTAAATTCGATATTTTTCAGTGAACTTGGCTAGAAAATTTTTATAAAAACTAACAATATGGTGTCCCATTTCTTTTAAATTCTATGTCAAATATGATTTTCTTTAAAAGTTCGTATATTAAGTCAAGGTTAAAAAATCATGTTTTCATAAAAACTCAATTTTTTTAAAAATTGAAATTTGTATTAAATTCATTTTTTTTATTTTTTTAAATTGACTTTTTAACATTTTAATTAAAGAGAACAGAACTTCTGTACCCAGAGTAGACTTTAATGGTCACCTAGAAAGCTTTCTACAGATCTTCTGTAACTACACGACCGCCTACATCTCTTAAATTAAAAAAAAACACTCTTTACAATTCGATAGCCAATACTGAATTTAATGATTTTTAAAGTAAGTTTGACATGTGACCATGCTACTGCATTATTGCAAAATCTTCTTTGACATTTCATATTCTCACAGTAACAATCGATAATATCGTTTCGATAATTTTCTCTTCGTGTGGTAGCCGAATATGTCTTTCATTTTCAGCAACTTGGAAACAACGAAGAAAATGAAAAAAAAAATATTCCTCTGAAAGCTATTTTTTCTCATTTCATTAATGTATATGTGTATGAGGTCCAAATCTCTTTTATATTTCACAATCTGATTCTTATTTTTGATCGATAATTGTATTATCGATTATTAGTATTATTAATACTACACGATACTTATCTCAACTTATGTTTTGCCATCTCTCTCTCCCTCTTCACTGTTTGAAAGAAGACAGACATACTGTGACGGGCTTCCCTTTGTTTGGCGGCAAAAAAACTTCTGAAAACTTTTCAAAGTGCGTACCCTTTTAATGGAAAATGCTAAATAGTCACTAATTTTCTTTTATTTAAGAAAATACCCATAGTTTTTTTGGAAAATAAATATTATTTTAGAACCAATAATATTTTTAATAAAAAATATAATTTATTTATTTTTTAAAAAATATATGGGCTTTTTTCTTAAAATCTTTAATTGACATTACATAGTTTTCTTATTACAGGTAGGTATTCAGTCATGTTTAAAAAAAACCTTCTTTTATGTTCCTAATACTCTTTCCCATCTCTGGTTTGGGGCCTGCATTGTATGTTTGTGTGTATGAGCGCGTATTATTCTTAAAAACCAGAGGATCACCAATACCAACAAACAACTTTATTTTTAACCATTTCCCTGTTTCCATTATTAGCTCCACCAATAAGAAAACAAATGACAATTTTACTACCCTCTCCCAATAAGAAATAAATGTCAAACAACCCGTCAACAACGAACCGCCAATAAGTTGGCAACAACAAACACCTTGTCAATAATAATGGTCGAGTTAAGACATTATAAAGTGCTGTTGACCACCGACAAATTCCACCGCTAAACGCCAAACAATAACGGCGTTTATTATGGAGTGGAACACGATTTATGGTCTGCTCACATGATGTCGAGTATTGTGTCCAGATATCAAATTGCCTATCAAGTAAGTGGAAGAAGGAAAGTGGAAACAGAGAAAAGCGAAACAAAGAAACCGCAAATATTACACAGGCACAAACATACACACACACACACACATTCGCCTTAGAACACTAAGCGATAGTTTTGTAAATTATTCTAGTTACTAAGTTTACCGTTATTGCTACAAAAAAAGAAACAGTTTTAAACAATTCAATAAATTGCTAATTTCAGCTTTTGTTTCATTTATTTGCATTAAAATGTAACAACGAGACATAGCGGCTGTTGGTTGTTGTCGTTAGTGCAGATTATAATGATTAGCGATCGCCAGGCCAACATTTAGTCTCCACGCTATGCCCATTGTTCCCAGTAAACAATTTTTTCCGACTGCTCTGATTTTAGATTTTTTTCCGAAATTTCTGACGTTTTTTTCAGAAATTTCTGATAGAAATTGGTCCGATTTTCTAAACGTTTTTTTTAGAATTTCTGCACATTTTCCTGTGTTTTTAAGAGAAAAAAACTCGAAAAATGTACAAACGGAGAGAGTAGATTGTCTATTGCTCTGGCATATTCTCTCCCACATGTAAACGGATGGTGGTGGTTTGACACATTCTCTCCCATAGTAGTTGTTGTTGTGATCATTCATTTCAAGATCTCAACAACAACAAAGCGCAAAGCAAAAATGCTATTTGTTATTGTTATTGTGAACTGTTAGATTTTCCGTTGTAAAAATGTGCGTTTTGTTGTTGTTGTGAATCAGCCTCTTTCTCTTTCGTTCCCAAAAAAATATGATGGAAAAAAATTGCAAAAACAACTACATACCGGTTTTCTGTGTGCACTGCTTTTTATTTTTAGTTCTTGTTTAGCAGTTGAAACAGATACAGCAGATACAGTGAATTACAAAAATTATATATATGTATATAATAACAACAAATAATTGAATTATCTGTTATCTGTTCAACTCTTTTGTGCATTAAAATACTGTATGTTATGTTCCTAATAAAAATAATATTTATAATGTAAATGTATTATAGATGTAATATTTAAACTACATTTTTACGAAACCCGAAATAAATTGTTTGTTTTTTAAATAAATATGTGTTTTTTTTTTTTTTTTCTTTTTTAAGTGGTGTGACGATTTTTTCGATATTTCTTCCGAATTCTGAACGATTTCTTTCAGAAAGTCGGAACTTTCTCCCGAAATCTGAGCGTTTTTTTTTCAGAAAATCTGAATTTTATTCCGAATTTTCTTTCGAATTCTGACCGATTTCTTTTAGAAAATCTGAATATTCCGCCGAATTTCCAGACGAATTCTGCCCGATTTCTTTCAGAAATTCGGAGTTGTCCTCCGAATCTTTTCCGAAAATCTAATTTTTTCTCCTATTTTTTCAAGAATTTTCACCGAATTCGGACCGAATTCGTCCAGAAAATCTAATATTTTTTCAGATTTTTTTCAGAAAATCTTTCCGAATTCGGTGACCACGTCCATACAACTTTCGTACCGAAATCGGAAGGAATTCGGAATCAGAATCGGACATTTTTTCAGAGATTCGGACAGAAATCGGACCGAATTCGGCAAAAATTGTTTACTGGGTTGTTGTTTGACTCTCCCTCTGTGTGTTTGTATTGGTGTTGATGGGGGTTGTGGTTGTGCCTGCTGCTGCTGAACGAATGAACGAACGCCGTTTGGTGCAAACGCCACTGTGACTGACGATCACGAGTTGTTTATTCAAATATTCTAGATTTGTGTTACGTTGCTGTTTTGTTATTGTTGAAAAAATTATTGTTATTGTATTTGCTTTAGTTTATTGTTGTTGCTGTTTTCTTTTTTTGTTTCATTTTATTCTGGAGACAAGTTGATGCCGGTGCATGGAACCGGCCAACAACAAATATGTATTTTATGCCGCATAATACACTGTAATCATTTAAGTAATTAAAAATTTTTGTTTACTTTTGTTGTTTGTTTTTTTTTTTGTATAAAAGCAGAAGTTGTTTTGCCGCCGCACAAAGGGAAGCCCGTTACAGTCTGTCCTTTTTCACACAGGAGAGAGACAGATAGAGAGATGGGGGAAAATATGACTTGAGATGAGTATC